AATAATTTCTTAAGACTGAAATTTTGTACAAATTAATTTAATGAATATTTCAATAATGAAAATTTAATGAATCAAAAAAATAAAAAAATTACAAATTCGAATTTAGTAAAAATAATTTCTTATTAGAAATAATTTCTTTCCTTTCATTTCAACGTTTTAAGCGACGACGCCCACTATGGAGTTAGGGAGGGGAGAAATTTGTGATATATAACTGATACTGACTAAGTTTTCATTGTTTATTTCCTTCGCGATGAAATGCAAAAGGATTAGAAACATCCATTCAATAAACGATAATCGATCATAGGTTATAAAATTAAATAACAAATAAATTTTAACGGACTGAAGAATAAGCCTTGCAATTACCAAAAATTAGAGTGAACGAGTGGAAGAATTAGTCTTAAAACCTAAGGGCGTTTATTTGTCATTTCTGGTCAAACTCGCTGGCTTCTCGCTCGCTTGTACCATTTATCACTTAATAATAAAAGGGGAAAACGTAAATGAGCCACTAGCGCTATTTGGGTGAAAGGTGTACTCTTGCGAGAAGTGGATCTTTAGAAAGAATTAAATGAATACGAGAATTCTGTGAAAAATGGTACGATGGCTCAATAAGTTCTTTTTTTCCGACTGGCTGCGCTGAGGTTCCAATGAACCTGTCCTTCCGCTAAACGCGGGCTATGGTAGCGACTCATCTGCAACTTTTATCGTCGACTGTTTGCCAATCCAGCGGAATGAAATTAATTATATATACGTAGTGAGCACCCTTAGAAAAAAATATAAAAAAATATAAAATATAAATATAAAATATAAAAATATAAAAAATTACAATAGCAGAATAAAGCATGGAGAAGATCATTCGAAAAAAATAAAGGTTAATGATAAAATGAAAAGTGTATAATGCATTTATCAACTCTTATCCATCACTGATTCTGTCAAAATAAATAAAGCACTCACCATTTCTTGTTAATTTCATTCTGCTGGTTTGGCTTGTAAATAAAAGAACTTTCGCGAAAAGCCATGCAAAATAAGGCCTTTTTAAATAAATAAATAAATTTGGCAACAATTAATATGCTTGGCAACAATTGTTTTTGAGACAAATAGGAAAAAAACATCTGCGAGGAAAAAAGCTTTTGCACTAATTGCAATTTTTAATCACACAACCGTCGTTTGATGTTCGAGAAATTTTAACGATGTGAATTCAACTGGCTGAATATTTATCACAAGTGATTTAACAACGAAACGGTTATAAAATTCATTATACATGCGCTAAAGGTCTTAAAGGTCGATAGAAAAGTAAATTGCTATATTATAGAGTTTTCTTTAAAAATTTACAAATTTGTTCTTTTTTTTGGAGGGCAATGAAAAATGGAAGAAGTGAAGTGCCATATTATTTTGAAATAATCTATAATTTTCCTAGGTGCGAAATAAAAAACTTCACCAAATGACTCGCGAAGGAAAACGAAGAGAAGGTACGAAATGAGTTAAAAAGAATTATTGTGCTTTCAAACTTTTATGAAAGATAATGGTTCAATACGTTGTTACGGTCATTTCGGAGCACCGATGCTCGAGTTCTACTCCTGGCAGAAAAAATCTATCTTTGAAAAAATCCAGAAAAAATCCAAAAATCTCGAAGGTACAGTTATATTTCTATTATCCAAATTTATTTGATCTGACTACAATTCAGCGAAGTGGATTTAACCAGAAATGATAAGCACTTTTAGAAAAAGGGAAAAAAAGTCTTCTGTGTCGATTCTTGAGAATAAAGAAATTTAGTGATTGATAGCAATAAGATGGCAGTATCGACATAGAATTAGGTATAAAAATATGAAATAACTTGTCAGATGGTACAATCACTTATTGAATAGACGAATGAATTCAATATTATAGTTTTATGGCTATTCGATCAAGGACATCGACAACTAGTAGACTATGCACAACGATCTATTAGAACAGTTCGATTGAAAAACTAGTGCTCGCCGAACAAATATCCAAGAAAGTGGAATTACTGATCTTAAAATTTCCCTTATATCTTTTACTGATAAACTCAAATTTTTGGTTTACGATTGTAAGCGCTATGATATTACAATGGATAAAAACTGAATATCTTAGCCCTTATTTTTTTCCAACTTAAACTGTCAAAAACTGATTCATTAAGAGAAGTTTTGATGAATTTCTGATGGCAAGAAATGAAATCTTTTTGTTAATAATAGCTCCTTTTTATTAATTTCAGTAACTTCTGGCTTTTTCTCCATCAAAACGCAAAACGCAAAACTAACCCAATTTTTCTTCTACCAATAAATTTTCTTCTACCAAAATACGAATAGAATGCGATAAAATTAAAATTTATTGCATTATGGAAAACGATAATTTCCTTAAATAAAGGTATATTTATGGTGCAAATTGTAGAATATTTTTTGCATTTATGTTATATTTTGCTTTTATATATTATAATGTATATATTATAAGAATAGTAGAAATGGTACTCATTTTCATGGAATATTTTGATAATTTTAAATGTCGAATATATTTCGCAAACATTTCTTCTGCAATAAGCAATAAAATTTGAAGGAATTGATGAAATAGGCATTGATAATTGGAAAAATTAAGTCGATATTTATGATAAGACAACAAGGTTGAGGGGAAGAGAAAACTAAATTGTTTTTGTAAATTAATTATTTGTAATTAAGTTGTAATTGTGGACCTACTAGTAATTATCTACTACAAGCAATTTAATTTGACTAGTGATAGAAGACCTTATCATTAAACTTTTACTTTTATTTTCAAGTGGTTTAGAAAAAATGGAAAAAATTTTATTCTAGTAGTCGCATTTTGGAATAAAAAAGTTGATTAAAATTATTAAAATTAATTAATGTAATAGATAATTTTACTCTGCAAGATTTTACTGAAAAATAATAAAAATTTAAAAAATATCATAATACTTAACACTATGAATGATAAGATGATAAGATCATAAAATAATTCGGAATATAAAACAAGTTGGACGTTCAGCTTAAATCGAATAATCAAGTTTTTTTTTAAGTTTTTTCTATGTTTTTTTTCGCAAGAATTTTTGAAAAATTTAACCATGCTTTATTTGGCTAATATTACTTATTGCTAGATTATATAGTCAGCAGACCGCGCCGCTTGGAAGAGCCTTGCCCTTATAGCTGCTGGAACCAGCCTAACCAGTAATGATGAGAGCTATTAGTAGAAAATTGCTAGATTGTTAATTTTATAATTTTAGATAAATAAATCATTTTCCAGTAATCAGTTTCAAGCTTTTGAATCATCAAATAGAATTATGCGGATAATTCCGCAGAACTATTTGAGAATATTTGAAAAGCAACTAACTATAATTGAACTGAAGAATAATGGACCAAAAATTCACCGCAAGATCTCATCTGCAACTTCGAAGATTCAATTTCGAAGCAAAATGAAAATTGGAGGCAAAAAGCCCAGAAATTTAGAATAAATGATAAGGATAAAGAGGCGAGATGTGGTTTTTAGCACAAAACTTTACAACAACCATAAAAATGATACGATTCAAAAAAACTGAAAATTTTCACAAGGCCATGAAATTGTTCATTTTATACTTTAAATTTATTTTCAGCTCTAACAAAATGGGAAGAAAAAAACGATCATAAAAGTGGAATAAGAATTTTCGAATGTTGATAAAACTACATCCTAAAGTTTTAATTTCACATAACAGAATTCCTCAGAAAAACAGTTGGCAAATCGGAAAGAACCAAATTCAAGGATAATTTAAGAAAAATTGTTGCATTAAAAGTTTCGAATTTTTCAGTTTAAGATTTTTACGATGCACAACGGTAATTATTTTATAAAAGAATTGTTTAATTACAAAATTATTTAAATATAAAACCGACTAAAATTTTGTCCAATCATTAAATATGTAATTTTTAAAGAGAATTTTTATATACAAGATTTTTTAAATAAGATTGTTTGTTAAATCTTGAGACGAGAAATTTTTCGAAAAAATAATTTTAAAAAAATATGAAAATAGTTATTTTTCTGGCTTTATGAAATGTGTACGGTCTTTGTGTTGAGAAAAACGAATGATATTTCATTTATAACGCTATATTATGTTTGGTTTAGATGATTAAATAAGACTGATTTGACCTAATAATCGACATATTCCTTCTAACAACACATAGAATTCCTCGTTTGGCTGATTGCACCCGCTATTAGGATATAATGTCTTTTCCAGGGAGTCACTTGGCAAAAATGATGAGTTTACTTCTGCCATGACTTGGCTTCAGTCGGAATAGTGCAATTCGTAACTTAAATATTTTAAAATTCAATTCTGGCTAATAAGTATCTTCATCGGCTCGCCACTCATCTGTAGTTCTATCGCCAAGGAAAGCATTTGCCTTGCCTGACTGAAAAGGCCTAAGAAGAAGCTTGAGGAGCGAGTCTAACCAGCAAGTGCTTTTTAAAAAAAAATTGTTTTTTATAGGTACAAAAACAATTTTGAAATTAATGAATTAATTATTATTATTAACGCGGGCTTTTCTCAGCAAAATAGCCCATTGTTTCCTTTAAAATGCCTTCCTATAACTGAAAATTAAATGTTCACTAGCATAGAAGAAATAATTCATGGGCGATTTTTTAAAGAAATTTTTTTTGAAATTTCATTATTCATAGAAAATCACTTAATAATTGTTTATTACAAGCTGCAATTTTTTAAATTACAAATAATAATTTTACGAAATAATCTAAAAAAAAAACTATTACAAATGCCATTAGAAATTTTCTGGAGGCTGAAACTCTCAAATTTAAAGCCAAATATTTAGCACTCTTCTAAATTGCATTTGTGCTAATATATTACTTCGTACGAATTTTCTTAATAATTGATAGTCACAATTTTTCATTTAGAAATAAAAGAAAGGATCATCAAAAAAAGAAAGAATTGACTGGGATTTAATAAAAAAACTTCATCTTCCCATATTTATGGAAGGTTAGGTTTACTGCTCTAAGTAAAACAGTTAGATTAAATGATCGCTTTTAAGATAGAAAAATTCATTAAGCGTCGAAATGTCGGTAGATTCAGCTTCGAAGATTTGTTCAGTTCTTTGGCACGCCGCGAGATATTGTGCTTGGTAATTTCTAGTGGAACTACTTGTTTCGGCCGAAGTTCCATGTTGATTGGATAGAAAATTTTGGTTTAGAACCACTGGACTAAGGAAATTACTTTGTTCATTTGTATTTGCATTAGCATGTACTGTACAATGATCAGGTAAAAAATTGTCATCAATCATACTTTCGCGTTGCATTCCCATTAATCGTTTTTTTGCGATATTTGGAGGTTTTTCTGATGATTTAGGCGTTATGGATTTTTCTCTTTTATTCATTGCATTAGAGGCTGAAGTTTTATATTCGCTTCTAAATCGTTCCATCGTTTCGAAAAATGATTTTTCAGCTTTTTTTCTCGAATCCATCAGAAAATTTGATGATGGACGTGCAATGGTAACCAATTTTTTGTCATTTGATGTATAAATGACTTCTTTTTGCAATGGATAAAACCAAATAGTATCCGAGCGAGTCCAGTTTTTTGTCTTTAAAAAAAATATTTCAGTAATAATAATAATTTTCTGATTGGATAGACAATCTTATAAAAAACATATAAAAAAACATAGGATTTAGATGATTAAGAAACTACTGGATGGTTCCAGTAGATTCGGTGAAAAACTTTTTAACTAACTTCATCACTTGCAATGTATTCGTAAAGATCGCCATTTATCAAATTTAACTGAAATTTTCGTAAATTTTCAGCATCTTCAATAAACCAAATCCAATTTTGCGAATTATTTAGCGTAATTTCTTCATAACGAATTATGAATATATTTATCTGCAAAAATTATCCAAAATTCTAATTTATTTGATCTTTTCATCGCTAAATTACTAAAAATGAAATGCTACTATTGAATACTACTTTGTCCATAATATTGCAGTCAGCGAAGATTTTGACGTTTGTTGAACTGCAATATATGGCGATGGAAAAAGGAATGGCTTCTATTACTGTCGACGATGGCATCAGATCGCATAGCTTGGAAGCCTCACCCTTGTAGCCAACAGAACCAACCTAACCAGTGAGAAAATAAGCATTACAGCAATTACAGCAATTTTATACTAATAATATTTTAAAATATGCAATTCAATTTAATAAAATTAAGTGTACCAACCTGTATAGAATAATTGTTAATAAAAGCATCCTCCATTTGTGTTTCTTCGTAATACATTTCGTCGTCGGAAATATTCGATGAATTTTTTATTCGAAGATCTTAAATTTCATTAAATTTTGTTAATTTTTAGAAAATCGAATGCCTTACATGGACCATTCTCTTATTATCATTAATTTCACTCTTTAGACAAAATGCTCAGAAGAAAATGGAATTTTCCTTTGACCTCCTTTGTTCTCGACCTTCTAGTTTGAGACCACTTAATATCTTTGCTATGTTTTCCCAAAATCTTCCTAAACGCGGTAATTTTTTATTCTTTCTTTCTTACTTTTTTTTCTTATATATAATTATTATGAGTATTTATAATTATTTTTATTTTCTTCGAAGGCCAAACCAAACGAACAGGCATGGCGAATTCACATAGTTCGTTAATGGCAAACCTTTAGAATATCTTCTTTTAATTGGTTTTTGTGGGGTTTTTGAATGGTTCGTTAATTTGTGGTGTAAATATTTCGAAGTTTTTTTATATTTCCTTTTTTTCTGGAAAAATTTGCTAATAATAAAAATACATTAGAACGAAAAAAAAATAATGGTGCTTAAGCAATTTGTTTTCCTTTTAATAGTTTTTCTTCTTTTTATTATTTCTAATTATACTATTTCGAAAATTTATTATTATTCATTCATTCAACTTATTTTTATTTTTCCTTTTAAAATAAATTATAAAATAAAAATGTGACATGAAAAATGAACGAAAAATTGCTAATTACGAATTACTGGAGTTTTATGAAAATTATCCGATGCGCTTTCTAAGTCCATTTGCTCGCATTCCTCGCCGAATATCATTCCTGGTGATTGTTTCGATACACCTCAAATGAGCTTTTGATGGGTGCCTTTATGGAAATTACTGGCTAAAAATATTCGAATCAGCGGCGAATTTTTAAATAGAAAATAAAATTTCTTCTTCCTGAAATAGGAAAAATTTTGGAATGTCCAAACGCTTAGCATTAAAATTGCACTAACTAATTTTGGTCGATTAGTTTACAATTTGCAACGTTAATTTAATCGGGCAATTGTCTTACTATGAACTTTCGTCGAATTCCCTTAGTGCACTAATAAATAGGATAAATCGACAAAATCATCCAAAAAATTTATTAAAAATTTTTTTTTTCAAAATTATCGAAATTATTGCAAGTCTCATTCGCTCTTTTCCTAATAAACCAATGAAGAAATGAAATTTTTATGCAAATTTTAATGACGCAAGTTATTTTATTTTTGCCACGTATCACTTTTTTGCTTTGAGAAATGCATAAATGAAATTTGGCACCAATTCAAAGATTAAAAAAAAGGAAACGTCTTCGATACGCTTGGCTCGTAAATCGCAACCCCCATATCAGTCCGCTAATGAAATAAGGTGACTAATTGAGATGACTAGCAACTGCTGCAGAAAATCATATCAGATATTGGAGTAACCCGCTTAAGACGAAAGAAAGAATAAAGTGCACCACTGCACCAAGCAACTGAAACAAACCCAATTTCCAGGTCCGTAAAAATGCCCATAAATTTGAAAATAGGAAAATTCGATTGCAGTGAATTTTCCATTAAATGGTGTATAAATGCTTTATTACGGATCCTTTGGTGCTCAAAATTAGATGTTCAGAAATACTTTAATTTGTAAAATCTGGAAGAGTGTGAAAAGCATCATTTTAATATTCCTTTCTTAAAGTATATATTTCTTTCCAGCATTCCTTAAAGTATATATTTAACAATAATTCATTTAAATCACTAAAATAATTAAGTTCTGATGGTGTAATCGTCTGTAAATATCAGATTTACCGCTTATATACTTGGTACATCGAAAAAAATGATGAAATCTTGCAAGTACCATAAATTTTTATGAAATTTCTACCATTTGCAAACTTTCTAAGATTTGATTGATGCGTGAATTTTTTTTATATAATCGGAAATTTTTAAAATAACTTCGCATTTCTAATGAAATTTTGCACGTACCATAAATTAATAGGCCATAATTCTTATCGATCATTTTCTAAATCTTTAAATTTTTTATTAAATTTTTTTATTTTATTTATTTGTAGTTTCATTGGCAAAATTTTTTATTAATGGAATACTTCTAAGAATTTTTTTCCATATAAAATTCTTGAATAATTTTTCTTTATTCTTTAATAACATGATAATTACAAAATCAATAATTCGTTATCATCGTGATAATGCATTATCATTCTTTTTTTTTGTTTCATCGATTTAATTCCGATTATATGGGCATTTACAAATCTAAATATAAATATAAATCTGTAAAAGTTAGATTAAAATATTTTATAAAACTCATGAAAATTGTATCATTCCTGGTGAAATGAACGACTTGTGAATTCTTTAAATGTACAGTTATCATTTTTATTTAAGAAATATTTTACATCTTCAAAGAAAAATTGAAATAAAACAAAAGAAATAAAAACAAAAATGTTTTTTTTACCTGGAATATTCCTGAAATATATGGAAAAAATATTAGAAAATATTAGAAATACGAAATTAAAAAATACGAAATTACATAAATAAAAAATGCTAACAATGGATGAATATTGGCATTAAATGCATCAAATGCACTAATCGATACTATAATGAAAATATATCATTAAATAAAAATATATCACAAAATACTACCAAATATGAAATAATGAAGTGAAGAGAAAAATTTCTATGGCAGCCTACTGTGGTCACCGCAATAATAGCAATAACAACAATAATAAAAAAACAATAATAAAAATTATGATAATAATAATAAAATAAACGATAGAACGCAGAAAAGCAGCTATATACAAAAGAAAGGAAAGTTTGACCACGCAGAAACTTGACGATGCGAAAAATAATATTTACTGCGGTCGAATATTTGCAATATCAGATAATCTAAATGCGAAAATTTAAGAAATTATACATAAATTATATTAATCACAAATTAGTCTTGCATATCATTGGTCTGTTTCTAGGTTGAATTACGAGCAGTCGCACTTATTTCCCACCTACCTGATTTAAAAATTAGCATTTTAAAGCTATCGCTATGTTTTGTCAAGGGAATTGACAAAGAATATAGAATACCTAGCAAGATCAAATACGGCGCCAAGGTTATCCTAGCTAAAACCTATACTGGGTAGCAACAAATATGGGGAATTGTTAGATTATTAGGCAGATTATTAATTCTGCCACAGTGGTAATTCATATCGAGAAGGCAATGGTACCTCCTATACTTTTATTAAAAAAATCAAATAGATAAAAGACATAAAATGATTGAAAATGCAGTGCCTGATGAAAGTATTCAATATAACGTGGATAGATCAAGGCTTGAGATATTTAGTTGATGCCGAAATAAAGGAAAAGAAAAGCAGAGATTGCAAAATACGTAAAACGAAGTATGAAGTCTAAAGAAAGATCAATGCACTAAAAAATAAAATGGAAAGAGTTCAAATGACCTAGGCAAATCTAGGTAAACTAGCAACAGAAACGGAAGGAAAATTATATCACTTACTCAGGACAAGAAAAATGAAGAAGGAATGGTCTTATTCGCATAGTTAGAAAGGGTATAGCAAGAACAATACTCGAGTAAAATGCGGTCAATATCGATTAAACTTCATGGACAACCATTCAATACCATTCATATTTATGCACCACTAATTAAGAAGAAGAAGTTCATAATTTTTATGACCAAGACTAATCAGAAACTGACACAACATGTAATCAAGACGTATTAGTGACTGAAATGCCAAATCTGGTAGCATGAAAATGGAAAATTATTGTTTTGCACGGACTAGGAAATCGAAATAATGCAGGAATCGACTTATCAAATTCTGCCTCTCCAATGATTTCTTCATAGCCAAAACTTCAAACAATAAAATCGATGCTTCATGGGCATCTCATATATCAAAATCAAATTGTTTATATATACTTTATATAAAAGTGATGCAAAAAATTATTTAAAAGTGATGCAAAAATCCAATTATGGCGGTGAATGAGATGACCAGATGCCGACCATGAAACAGATTATAGACTCCAAGCTAAGCCCCAAGTATAAGCTCCAAGCTAAAGAAGGAAAAAGAAGCAAGTTTCCACTATATGATGTTGAACATATATCCAACATGTTCAAGGAAACATAAAAAATTTTTTTGAATGAATTCGAAAAAGCTATTAAGAATAAATGTGAAAAGAAACTGCCAAAATTTAAGAAGGAAAATGGACATACGGAAAAAAAGAAAAAAATGTGAAAACTGGAAACCATCTACCAATACGTTACTATTTGAAAACTATTCGATGATATAACAATGACGTAGAGAAAATGACCGGTTAAATTGATAAAGAAAAGAGCATCGCAAGGGATAATTAAATTCCTAAACAATGTTTCGAGAAACAATTCAGAAATCACTCGGAAACATGGAATAATTTCAAAATCAAAATAAACTATTGAAAAGAAAAACAAATGTGAACTTACGATTTGCCGAATTTGAAGTGTATCAATAGGAATGTGAAACCGAGTAATATGCAAATACTTCCAACAACCATATATGCAATACCTAAGAATGGATTTTTGCCACCAGCCCAGGATGTTGTACTTATTATAAAAGATTTTCGACCACCAAAAACTTCCACAGGATAATCTTGAATTGAATTTATTATTTCAACAATTTAGAAAATTATAAAAAATATCGTACTGTAATATTCGAAAGCGAATTTGGTTTTTGTAGCATCTGTCTTCAATTTTTTATAAAACCGAAAAAACTTACTGTTTGCTATATGAAGAGTATAATTGCCTTTTGGTAAACCATCCATGAAAACTCCTTTCCGAACTAATATTCTGTAAAGTTTTCGAAAATTAGGTAAAGCTGCTGTACGCATCCATATAATAAAATCCGTATTTAAGAATCCATTATTATCAGGATTATGAGGATCCAACTGCCAAACTTCTTTCTTCCAGTTAGGTGGTTTAACAGTATTCTACAAATATACATAATTTGGTATAGAAAAATAAGATCTTTAACATATTTATTTATCTATCGTCAATTATATATATTTGGGAAAGATATAAAAGAAAATGAACACGGAATGCTTCTTTAAGTGATATGCCGGGTGGATTTTTAAATTTTCGCTCCTTATCAACTGGCCATACAACACCAACATAAGTCCAAGGTACGAGTGAATTTCCCACATATAGTTCGAAAGTATCTTCAAAATACAGTGCATTAAATATATTTTATATATCATAATATTAATCGAATTAAACAAAATTATTCGAAATATGAATGTATTTCCAGAAATGATCAAAAATTAAATAGATAAATTATAAAAATAATGGCAAAAAATAAAATAAAATTGATTAATAAGAAAGGATTTACAACCGTTAAACATTGAGTTAGCAATTGCACCACATGGTGCGATTACTTTTTCCCCCATAGATGTATTCATCCTGGCATATGGTTCACAATCACCAACACTCTGTAATATCATTAATCATACCATTAATCATTAATAATATTATATCATCATAAATAAAATGAAATCTTTCTATGAAATTTTTCAGAAAAGGAAAATGGAAACAAATTCAAAAGTTTAAATTAATCAACTAATATATGATTAACCAAACGACTTACATTGAGATCTCCAAGCAACTGAGAATCGCTCCTACTTTTCATATAACGACGATGATTTTGATAATAATTATTCAAACCATAATAAAAATAAACATCACCCTAAATCATACTTTTATTAAAATCTAAACGGTTTTACTTGTAATATTCATAATTTATAGTATTTTTATTTTGCAAATTAATGCTGAAAATTTCTATTGATTTCTAATAATTTTCATTTTATATCCATTTTTTGAAAAATGAAAACTATATAGTATTAAAAGAAAATAAAAAATAAAAAAAAAGTAACTAAAACTATTAAATCACAAAATAATATCATGAACAATTCAATTTATTTTTAAAATTAGATTAGAGGCGATAAGCTAAAATGATCCAATCGGTAAGAAAGCAGTTCATTATAGCAATTAATAGAAAAAACGCAACACTTTAGCCTCATTGATAAGCACAGAATTTTCTATCTTAAAGAAATATTACAAAAATTCAACAAACAGAAATTCTCAAAACCCGTAAATAAATTCAAATCATTCAATTTGAATGTCGAAATGCAGTAAATCTATGAGATAAATTTGAATAGTGCAAAAATTTCTTCGCAAACTTTCAATTGATGTGACTGATTTAATAATAAATTTGGGTATTTTATGAGAAATTAAATAAAAGTTTAGTATATATCCATAAGAAAGGTTACGAACTTATTTACCAATACTAAAATACCTCAAATCTCTCCTCTTCCATTAGGCAAGATCTTAAATAATTTAAAATTTTAGATGATTTATTATTGTTAGCTCTATTGTGGAAATCGAAATTAGGATCAGCCTAAACCTAGTTTAAATTAGGCTAAACTAAGAAAATTACCAACTTATATATTAACTAATATAAATTGATGGATTTAGAATCTGCTTAACAGGTGATCTTCCCATACTATTCAATCCAGCTAATCTTTGCTATCTAATTTTTACAATAAACTTTACAATCAATAACGTAAATAAATATTAGAATAGAAATTTTATGGTAAAATCACTAATATCATTAATAAATAAAAGAAATTTGTTTAAGATGAAATATACTAAAAATAACAAGAAGAAGAAATGAGAACAATGGTAATAAAAGAAATTAAAATAAATCAATAGTAAAGAGGTGAAATTTGGTGAAATAACAATTAAATGGAAGGGGGGAGAGGAAGAACTATACTGCTTCGATTACCAATCCATTATTCTCCTTAAATAAGGTTAAATTCTCCCTTGACAAGTAAATCTATAAATTTTCTATCTCCAGGTAACTCCTTGGCAAATTCTAATTCAGATGGCATAACTAAGAGTGATAATATAAGAAAAAATATAAAACGAGTTGTTGACAAAAGGGAACTTATAATAAAGAAAATAAAAAAAAATAAAAATAATAAAATAATAAACCTTAAAATCATTTTCAATATTAATGTTATGAACACACAAAGAATTTATGGATGCACATGATGTGTAATCAACGATCATTTCGTTTACTAAAATAAAAATTAAAAAATCCTGGTTTTACTGAAAAGATTTAAAAATAAAAGAATAATAAAGCCTTAAACTTTGATTTAAAAAAATTATTTCCTATTAAAATTATATGTATATATATTTTTGGCAATGGATAAATTATAAGTGCATAATCTGAGGTTATAATATGGTTATTCCACAGGGATCCTCGGCTAATAATAGTAGTTTATAGTAGTCATTAATGAGGGCCATAGTTACAATGCATTCAATAAAAAAAGATTGAATATTGAATACCTCCATTACTTGCAAGGAATAAAGCTACACCAATTGGCAAGAATATAATGCCAATTGCAAAAACCGTTGGTATCACAGTTGTAGCTGTTAATATTGGTTGCCATGCAGGTAACTTCTGTTGACGAATTCTCGTATCTAAAAAAATAAACTCTCTATAAAAAAATTTTTTTAAAATTCATTTCCGATATTAAGATAAGATAAAATTTTCAATTAAATGAATAAATTTTAGAATAAAAATTTGATCACTGAACTTAAAATTTATCATTATGATCATTCCAATAAATATAAAAATTTAAAACTAACAAAATGCAGCTTTCTTTTTAAGTCTATAGTAATTTTTAATAGACATAATTCACTAAAAATTTTTTAATTACCAGTGAATATAAAAGAACATTTCTCTTCACTTTTAGGAAAAAAATCAAAAAATAGGAGAAAAAATAGAAAAAAATAATAGAAAAAATGAATTCAGATGACAGGTGAACAATCAAATAAAGAGAATTCGAATAAAAATTACGCGTACTCAAATAAATCAATGCTTGAAATGTGATATTAATATTTATTTTACAAATATATATTTATTATTTTATATATATTTATTATTATATATTATTTTATTACTTATAATATTACGTTAAGACCATTTGCACAAGTTATAAGCTCATCGCATAGCTATTGTACTTCATGATCTTCTAAATAAACAGATGAATATAATCCTGGGATTCGATAAAAATTACGAAATATTTACCAAATTTTTTATTAAAATCGACTCTTTTAAATCATTTTTTCCATCTTTTATTTCGTTTATAATGAAGCAATAATAGAATATCGCTTTAAATACCATGATTCATCCTGATAGGACAGGGCTAAACCTGTAGTGAATTTACGTGTTCTATCGTAAGTGACTCTATTACGAAAGTTTCTAATCCTGACAGTATCAACCTAAGAGGAAATAGTGAATGATATTATTTAAGATTCTTCTAGCCAACGAACTATTATGGTGTATTTTCATTCGATTACCAATCTAAATCCTAATCGAATCATACAAATGGAATACAAATTATGCAAGAATATCTCTAAGGCATAAATTTTCACCCCAGCAGAACTATTTTTTTAAAAGAATGAACCATTTGGCTTCACTCAATCTGTTAATTATCTTAATTATTTGCGGTTGAAGAGCCTTAAAGAGCCTACTGAATCATTTGAAAATAGAAGAACACAAGAGTCGCTAATGCACTATTCGAAGTTCACTTTTAATAAAGCCTTTTTTTTCATCGATAAACGATTTGACAAATTCGAACTTAGACAAAACTTATATTACTAAAAATTTATAAAAAAAGAAAACCTTACCAAGAGGACGATTCTTTTTAATTTTATTATTATCGTTAACACTTCGTCTTAAACGGCTATTTTGTTCGTTATCATTATTACTATTAAGCGATGCTCTCATCTAAAAAAATGTTTATACATTTGTGCATTATTTTCTTCTAAAAGCACCACTTTATTTTGCTGGCTTATCGCAAATTTTGCTTGGTAATCAGAAGAGAAGATATGATGATATGTGACGTGACGTGATGACGTGACGTGAAATTCTACGAATTCTACGAACAATAAAAGAAATTACAAGGATTCATTTAATATTACAATCGTACTGTCTCATTTTCATTTTATACTCATTTTCTACACAAAATGTCGCATGATTATGACCTTAGGCAACTGTGACAAATATTGGATTATAGTTGGCGAAGAATGCACATAGGTTATTTCCCTGTGCTGCTCGTTATCTTATAGAAAAATAGCTAAAAGTAATAGCCTTAGTCGAAATTGAAGCAAAAACGCCTTTCAACGCCTCGATTCGCTTTCACCAGTCCGACGCACTTAATACAGAGTTTGCTAGCGTATTATAGCGAGTATTATATCATAATTTATAGTCATGCGTAGCGAGGTAAATATTTGTGTCGAGAATCACTGCACTCCCCTATAACTGGTTGAAGCGTTCGAATCTCTATCTGGACCCTTGAAGAGCTAGAGGATCGCTCCCGTTAGGCCCACTGCCACCAAGAGCCGAAGTCCAGAATCGGGCGCTCCAGAGCAACAACCTACCGGACATTCGTTCTACTTTCCACTACCGCCCAAAACGTTGGCAACCCTGCCACTAAAGAATCGACACAGCAGTCTTTAAATGCAAAAATTAAAATTTCATAAATTAATACGGTTCATAAATAAAATTCATCAGCAAGAACAAATAAATAAACAATAAATAAAAAAATAAACGAAGCAAAACATACAAAACGGGGCGCTACAATTTGAAAGGTCTGCTCTGATTATTACGAAACACTAATTAGCAGCTCGTGCGGACTCTCATTCTTGAATTTACTAAACATCGTGATAAGAGAGAGGGGAGAAAATGGTTTTTTTCCATTCCTATACTTTGCTAAACGAAGTACCATGACAGCGGACATTTGCGTAAGGAGATACGCTAAAGAAACGGGGGCTGGAAAGGTGAAAGGTAAATAAGCTATTTTCCAAAGGAGGAGCACTGCAACGACATAGTAACCAGTGGCAAGAGAAAGTGTCCACCAGCTGGAAGAGCATCAATGCAAAATAGCTACGAGATATGAGATACCGCAGCAATCTTCCACAGCAGAAATCATTTACCATCGCATTTGATATCCAAAAGTGGCTTAAAAAACATGAAAAATTGAGCAGCATCTGTTCCGAATGCACCAACCTACCCGCTAAAAAAACTAAGAGGTGAATACTTAAGTAAAACAACAACTAAATGAACCTAAATCACAGGTGAAGCACCTGTTTGTGGCAGATTCTCACTCAGACTGGTTGACAGAGTAAAGATGGTGCTGATAAACGAAAGGTCTTCGTAAAAAACATCATAGCCGACCAATAAGTACTTAGAAAGTACTTGAAAATGCATGGAAAGAAAAAATGGAAAATAGTAACCATAGGTACCATGCTAAAGACAGCATCGAAGTACCGAAGAATGAGATAAGTTCTGAAGAACGAACTCAATGGGAAAAATAAAATCCATGCCATAAATATCTATCCTACCAATCGTTAGGTATGCGGCGTACATAGTAAGGTTGACAAAGGAAGACATGGAAATTACCGATGTGAAAAGCCGGGAATTCCTCACAAGGCAGGGAAATTGCCACTCCAAGTCTTTCTAATACTCAAGGACTATACATCAGTCGGAAAGAAAGTGAGGGGGATTTTGTTAGTGTCACTGTTTTGGAAAAACCTGAAATATATCAGCAAAATGGCACCAAATGATAAGCTGCTAAGTGAATACATAAAACATCTAGAAAAAGGACCAAGTACTATGGCCGAAGTACCACAGCAAAGCAGTTGTTATTAGAAAATTCCAGTGGTACTACAGACCATACTTTTATCTTTATTCCTAAGTCCTATCCTCACTTCTTGGCAGAAATGATTATTATTTATATATCTTTGACTGCATGGAATACTATCGAAACATATGTGGCTGACATTGAAAAATACTACCAATAGTTGGAAAAAGCGAAGATAGCACTGAGGCAACACAAAAACAGGCCTCAAATATTAGACATCAGACAAGTTTAAAGGTGCAGACTGTAGGTGCCGCAGAAGGACATCAGACAAGTCTAAAGGTGCAGACTGCAGGTGCCGCAGAAACAGTCCATCATATAGTGGCAGGACGTAAGATATAAGCAGGAGCAGCATACACTGAAAGGGATAACCAATTAACTGGTATTATCTATAAGAATATTTGCTTAGTATGACTTAGATTTTCTTTAGCCTGGATGGGACATTCCTTCGAAAAATGTGGAGAATAATGGAGCGATGGTCCTGTGACATTTGTCCATCCAGATCGACAAGAAAATCAACCAGATATCGTGGGTTGTTGGTAAGAACCAGAAGTCAATGATAATAATACCAAATACAGGAAGAGGAAATATGAGAAATTAGAGAAATAGCAGGATCTAAAAAGGAACTGAAGGTGTGGAAAGTTAGAAGGCCAAAGTAGTGATAATTGGAATATTAGGACTTATTGCCAGAGAAATACCAGAGGCTGAAAGAGGAATTAGAAATGTGGAAAATTAAAGCAATCCCACTGGTGCTACAACCTAACTTAAAAAAATGGCTGCAACATATTCCAACAATGACATCAAGAATCTCTCTCTATACTGCTACGAACTGCTAATAGACTGCGCAAAACTCTCAGTATCGCAGGTAGAGGATCTGAGGTTGACCTTTACTATACATGCGGTCAGAAAGGAATTTTATATATATATATATATATATTTGACCCAAATTTCTGATTTGACCTTTATTTTTTTATTTGACCTTTATTTTTTTTTAAAGAGCTTTCACCATTACAAGTTAGGTTCGCTCCGTTGACGACAGAAGTACAAGTGAATCGCAAGCATCACCTTGATTTCTGGACAAGTTTACTCGTCCGGGCAGTGGAATCTCAGCTCTAAATCCACCTTTTATATTTACCATTCTTTGAGCAATAAGAATATTTATGCTGAAATGTAGAAGATTGGAAGAAAGAAACGTTGATGAAGCCAGAATTGAACGAGACTCACTTCAACAGATTATTTCTTGACTCTGGAGCTTTTTCAACAAAATCAGATTCTTATTTTCTTGCCAGAAGACTTACGTTAGAGGTGTTCAAATGGCTATTCAAGAACGGCTATCCATGAGTGTTGTACATCATCGCCTCAGTATTTTATTGATGTTCAGCAAAGATCTGAGATGTTACGAATAAGCACCTCTAATTTATGTATGTTTATATGTGTAAATTATAAGAAATACCACGGGCTGAAAGAGGAATTAGAAAGATGTGGAAAATGAAGACCAGAGGAGTTTTCAGCGACACAGTAACGATCACGAGAAGTTGCTCTTCGCATATATTCGTACAAAACTCTTCAAATTTGCCGTTGGGCAGAAAATTTTTCATACAATTATTTTCCCGGGCATGTCACCAACAATGACAAAATCATAATCAAACAATCTAATTAGCAACGACGATCTATACTAAATTTACTTCCATAGCCTGGGGCAATGTATAGATTTTAAAGAAAAATACTTCTATCATCAAGAAAAATTTTACTTAGCAGAGGTTCAGAAGAAAAACAAATATAATCATTAATTGCACATTTGTAGTAAGTGGGAACAAACATGATAAGTCTACTTCCATGTGCTATTCAAGCCATCTGCTGTTATATCAAAAAATCGAGGTTTAATTCGCGATTATCAGTAGAAATCATCCATCTACTGATATAAAAAATACTACTTAGACTTAGACTATCAGTTAATAAGAGATTTAGTTCATTAGTATTAGTGAAATATCCTAGATTGTTGTGGTTAGAACAGAGAAGAGAAATGAAGCCATAAAGTCTTTCGTCGTTCCCAGCCATTGACGAGGCTGGCTTAACTCTACGACTCAAAGAATTCTGATTACATTCTTTAAATATTAAGGCTCTATATGGCACTATAGATTCTTTGGTTAAATCCTTCCATTGAAAACTTTCATTTGGTACGACCGCCCAGGTATTCCCATTGCACAATACATGACTGGATATTTATTTTCTAGTCGAATTTTGAGTAGTCGAAGCTTCTTTGTTTTTTTCTTTCCATTCTGACGAGTCTTCATGGTACTACTAATGTTGATTCCAGCGACTGCGATAATTTTCGCTATCAGTATTCGGCAGCAACTCATCTTCTGTAGGCTTTTCTGGCATACTGCTATCAACTAAACATCGTTCTTCATTTTTTTCAAAATTTTGTTGAAGACTTCAGAATAATGGAAGAATAATGAAAGAAAGATATGTTGGCCATAGTCCATTATTTGTTTGCAAATTATTTCAGTTTTCCATTGATCTTAGTGAATGATTTGGGTCTTTCAGCCAACTGCGATCAAATGTGATCTTAACAATAATCCTTCTGTAATTTTATAGAAAGAATTGTCATCCTCAGTTGAACTTTTGGATAGCAGATTCCCTTTAGATAAACATATTATGACCAATAAATGCCATTCCTTGTTAAATCAAAGAAAAAGTTGGCGACTGTTCACGTGAAAATATATAGAATTTGGATCTTTAATGATAGAAATTAAGTTATTTATTAAAAAAACTTATCAAAAATCTTATTCTACAAAAATCTTAGTGGTGAAATGCCGGGATTATGCACAAAGCAATAGCAAAGATGGTGAAATGCAGGGATTATGCACCAAGCAATAGCTAAGATATCTTTCAAAAGTCCAACTAATTCTGGCGATTTACTTACATTTTCAACGTTAAACGACTCGTTGCAAAAATTCCTTTAGTCCGACAAGCCAAGGATGCATGCATAACTGGGAATGGTGAGTGCGAAAAAAAATTTCATGAAAATCGAGCTACCAAATAAAGTAATGATTAATGTGGAGCACTTATTGACTCTTTATTGTAGTAAGGTCACTTTGCGTTCTTTATGGTTTCTTGAGGTCACAGTTTGACAGTTTTTATAGCATGTTGGTGGTTAGTGTCGATAGATATCTTTATTATATCATAATTATTAAAACTAAATTTTATTTTTATGGTGTTCGTAAGTAAATTATTCTAAATAAATTGTTACAGTAAAGGTAATTTCTGTAAAGCTTACGGAACGACTGTATATTTCAAATATAACGACTATATATATTTAATTTTAATACAGTAGATATTGTATTGATTTGTAAAAATTTTACGAATTTTCGCTGTCGATCGTAAGAATTTTTTGCGGGAATTGGAATTGGCGAAAAAAAAATGGCTTCAAAAAATACGTTCAATGATGTAGGAATCGTTGTCCACGAAAATGTAAAATTCTGTAGATTTACAATTATATTTATTAAATTGCTCACAATTTTCCAATTTTGAAATTAGAATTTTATGAGAATATCTGACCTGAAATATCCTCAACATTGTTTTCCGCCTTTAAGAGCTCTTATTTAAAGGTGAAAGAGCCTTCGATGTGACCATTGTTGAGTAGTATTAAAGATTTTAGGATGTCTACGGTCCCTCACTTCACTGAAATATTCGGTACTTTCAAATTATTTAAATAATTTCGTGCATTTTTATTTTCTAATAAATTTGTTTCACAAACGCAAAATTATTTTTTAGTTTGCTCAATTTCACCACAGTCATCACATTTCCACTATTGTATGTGAAAGGTAAAACAAAATCCTATTTTCTTCGCCTGTTTTGTTTCAATTGGTTTATATTTTTCTCATCTTTCTTAGCACCAAATTCGGCCTCAACATTATTCTTTTTACAGAACTATCAAAAGACAAGAAAACATCCGAAAAAATGGCCGAACAGAGCGTTAATGTTTGCGATGGTAGTGGTGAGAATAGTGGTACGCCTCATCCTGTTGGAGATATTGAAATGAAGGAACCTGAAGAGGATCTGATCGGTAAAACTGCTCATTTCGGACTTCATTCTCGTTTTTTTCCAACATTATTAGGTTCACTTCCAGATTTTAAGTTAATTTCTAATGATTTTTCAGAAATCGGTTACGTTTCTCATAAATGTGAAAGCAACATCGTCTGCCGTGGCTCAATTGATAAAATTCCATATTTCAATGCTGAAATCTATACTAAAGAACAAAAAATTGGAATTGTGGGTGATATTTTTGGGAAAGTAGATGATCATGTAAGCTTTCTTCTCTCTTCCTGAGACGCGTTTCTTATTGTTTTTTTTTCTAAGAGCACAAGGTATTTCTCATTGGGCCTATTCAACCAGTTTTTTCGACCGGAAAATTTTTGCAATGGAAGTAATGGAAGTACAAATTAGTCACCAACTCGGGTTTCTTGAAGCGCGGCTTGGCTGAGTCGGACAGTAGATAAAACCTTATAATTCTTCTATATCCACTAATTCTATCCTCAATACTACATTATTCGAGCCCATTTTATTTTTTCAATATTTCTACTGGTTTCTAATTAGAGAATTTCAGAGAAATTCTCGACAGCACATAACAAATTTCATAAGTATTTAGTAAATTTTCTTGGTGGCGATTCTCAATCGAAGTCGTTTTAGGGTTTTTTAATAATATTGGGACCTGGTCTCAGGGCTTCGCTTTTCGAGCGAAATCAAAAAGTATTTGCTAATAGACTAAGGCTTTTGAGCTATGATACAATTGATCCGACTTTGGCAAGAACAGCTGAACAAGAAGCAGAAATCGTGCTACCACAAGGTCAGTTGTCATTGCCCCTTTAACTTTCTAGTTGTTTTTTCGTACGTATTTTGGCATAATTTTGGCAAATACCTTTGGCAGTGATATGGTATTAATCGCCAATTAAATATAATAATTGATTTTAATGATATAATTTTAAGGTCAGCGAAATTCGCGCAACCGAAGTCGAAAACGTAAAGGTTTCTTTTCCTTTCCAATTTTTTTCATCACAATTTTGAACAAACAAAATTTAAATATTAATTTAAATACTAACTTTTTGAAATAAAATAGATGATTGCAGATAAGTTGTTCGTTTTAATTGAGTAATTCTTTGATTGTTATTAATCAGTTTAAAGAATTTCAGCTTTTTTAGGGGTTTTTCATTGAGAAATTCAAATTTAACTTGAAAAAATATTAAATTATAAAAAATTTTACACTAAATAAATGAACGAAGAAGATTTGGCGAATTTGGCGATTTTTTAACATTTATTAATAACAATATCTTTCTCATATTTTTTTTCGGGAAAAATTTTCTTTTAATTAATTATGGATTTAAGGTGGAAGAGGATCATCCCGAAGAGGTGATAGTAGATTTAGAAGAACTGATCGGATTGATGGTGAATATAGAAGAGCTGCTGTAGGCAGAAGTGTAAGAGGTAGATTTAGAGGGGCTGTCTGGAGTAGAACTGAATTTAGGCGAACTGATCCGACAGGAAGTGAGTATGGATGGGGATTTTATAGCGGTGGTAGCAGTGGTCGTGGTCATAGGGGAACTTATAGCGGTTGGCTCAGGGAAATTACCCATAGAACACGTCCATACAGAGGTCATAATCCTAGTGCGCAGGGCTTTCGAAGATAATTTATTCAAAGCGTTCTTGCATTTTTCTAATATGCGTGAGAAAAGTCGAAAGAACCAGTAATTGAAATATCCATCCTATTTTGAAAAAGTAAGAAGTTAAATTTATGGTTTATCATTGCTATATTTATTATATTATCTCCTCCTTATCTGATAAAAACTATAATTTATCTCGTAGAGTTAGAGTTAGTGCATAGAATTAAAGAGCCTTGTAGAGTTAAAAACAATTAGTTAATAAATGTTTCACTGAATTACTGGAATTGAATCGATTTGCTTTTTTATGGTCGATTTGGTGAATTTTGGTTCAAAATAGGCTTATTCAATCCAATTTTTGTACGCCTTACACCTCTGTGTCTCCGGGTTCAGCTTGCTTAATTGGTTCAAATCACTTTGGTTTTCCACTGTCCGAAAGTACGTCGTTCGACCATCTAATTATGCGCTCTTCTCCTGACCGTGAAAAATCAAGTCTTTATTGGACTTTTCTACTTTCAACAGTTTTTTTAGACAAAAAGTTGAGACAAACAGCGACAAACAGTGAATGCCATTTTTGAAAAATTTCAATATTTTTTCATACTAAAATACATTTTCTCTCTAAATTTCATGAAAAAGTTTAAATTTTGCACAAAAAAATTTTCATATAAACGCGCAAATTTCTAAGGAAAAATAAAATTTCAAAGAAATTATCATTATTGATTTTATATTTTATCATTTTCATCTATTATCATTTTTATCATTAAGGAATTTTTTTTCAAAATTTTTAAAAATTTTATATTTTTTTATAAATTCATCATCGATTATCTTTTTTAGGTTATGTCAATGGTGATATAATTTAGATGTATTTGTTAAATTATTTTTGTATTCGAATGACACCAAATGATCATTTTTTTTTAAATATTGGTTATTTTCGAAGAATTTTTATTATATTTTTGCTATTCTTATTTTGTATTTTATACTGAAATATACTGAAATCTCTTTTGAATTGAATAGAAAAAATAAAAAATTAATGGTTCTTCCAAGTTCATAAAAAAACCATTTTAAAGCATTTTAATTCATTCTGAAAAAAATGGATTTTGTGGAATGCAGAAAAGCGAATAGTTACGAAAGTTTTTATGAATGTGCGACTTTTAAAAATGTGCGACGCTGGACCCGCAGGCTACAAACGCTTTCAAACCTTGAACTTGAAAGTAAATGAAACCATTTGTCTTTCCAACGTGTAATTCAATAGGTCGCTGGATTTCTTATGAATTGAAAATTTCCGGTGACCTTGTCAATCCATTTTTTGATTCGTTCTCCTCGCCATTTATCACAGGCTTAGCAAGCTTCAAGAAATGTCAATTTATTTAATGGCTTAATTAGCATGGATGCAATCAAACGAGATTTTACCCGCTTGGCGAACATATATAATATGCAAACATAGCTTTGGTGGAGTAGAGCGAGATAATAATTCAAATATAACTAAAATTTTCGCATATATATAATGCAAACCTCAAATCATTGCCCTTATCTTGTTCTTTGGTAAATTTTGTTGGTCTATACAGCAAGCTTAATGATAATTAATTGCTATAAATTAATCAATAAGATGGTGATAAAATGATAAGAATTATTTTGTCTGAAGAGAACTTACTAGCTTCATGTATTACCATCTGCAGTTATTTACCATCGTTTAATGAAGATGCAGAATTATTGCGAAAGTGAAAAGGGTATTTAGGCAACAATGGAAAAAAAGCATTATGATGCCCAAACCAAGGTGCACCTCAACACATTATCTGTATATCTGGTCATTCACTCTTTTTTTAGTCCATTGAAGATCATTTTGAATATTATTAATTGCCTTCTTTTTAGATCTCTAAGATTCCGTTCGTTTATATTATTGGTTTCTTCTCACTATTGGTTACTATTGGTTATTTTTCACACAAATATGAAGGTAAGGTAACATTAATTTTCTGAAATCGTCGGTGCAACTTCATGTTGTAATGTCAAACCTATTTTAAGAACCAAGAAAAATTTTTAAAAATGATCTAAAAATTTTTTAAAATGCATGCAGTAGAAAATCGTGCAACCACTCATATCTTTTAAATTTCTCAACATTTCAAATTTAACTTTAACTTTTTGCGAATTTGCGAATTTTTATAGTTCGTCGATCACAGGTAGTGGGATAAATGGAATGGTTTAGAATTCCTTTGCTTCTTTCTTCCAGTTAGATGGTCTGCATTCTTTTTATATTTTGCAAATAAAGAAAGGTCTTTAACAAGGCTGAAATAGCTTTGGCTGAAACAATTGTCTCTTTAAATGGCCAATGGCTCTTTGCCTGATGGATAATTCTGAGTTTAGTGAGTTTGCAAATAAATCCAAACATTCTATAGCGAAAATTCTTAAGCAAATTCTTGGGACAATTCTTTAATTATAACCGCCGTCTTACTGGATACATATTTATTATTAATGAATAAAAAATATTTTTTATAAATGCAATTAGCAAAGCATTTATTTACTCGTCAGAACCTTACTATTGTACTGATGGCAGTTGCGAAAATTCTACATGCATTGTAGAATTCAAGAATTGTGTAATCCAACAATGCTGAATGGTTACCCATTTTGAAGGCTTAAAATAAAGCCGTGGCCAAGTCTTTGGCCAAGGCTTAGAATTGAAAATAGTGAAAAAACCTTTGCATTCTACGAAAATCGAATTGGCAATAAACAATTGAATTAATTTTGGTAGATATTCTATTGACTTTTTTAAATTTTAACTGTCGATCGTAAATATTTTTTGCGGGATTTGGCAAAAATAAAAATAGCTTAAAATAATATATTAAATAATTTGGCGGTAGTTTACGAAAATGCAAAATTCAATAAATTTATGACTAAAATTATTAATTTATTCACAATTTTTCAATTTTGGCACTTTATTTTGGTAATATTAAGAATTTTATGCAAATGTCCGACCTGAAATGGCTTAAAGAATATTTTCCCCCTTTAGGAGTACTCTTTAGGTGCGAAAGATTCATTAATGTTGAGGATTTGCTGAGGATTTAGGATGATTGAAAATCGTCATCCTCATTAAAATATTTGGTATTTCCAATTTATTGAAATAATTTTATGCGATTTTATGCGATTTTATTTTTTAATCAATCTATTTAGCGAATTGAGAATTATTTTTTGGCTTGGCTAGTTTCGCAACAATCATCGCAGTTCCACTATTGTGGGTTAAAATATAGGTTTCAGTCCTATTTCTTTGGCTTGTATTTTTTCAATTGGTTTATTTATAGTTTTCTGGTTCTTTTAAAAAACATCTCATTTTCTAAAGATATTTAAAGATGTTCCAAAGCTTGCTTGGCATCAAATTCGGCCTCATATCTTAGTATTATGCCTCAGTTATAGGTGAAGAAAGATCTATAAAAATGGCAGTACAAAGAGCTGAAAGAAACATTGGAGTTGATGGTCATGATGGTAACCCTAACGATAGTAATAGCAATAATAGCAGTCGTAGCGCTCTTTGCGTCAGTAGAGTTGAGGAAGAATTTCTAACCGGTAAACTCTAGATTTCATTCTAGATTTCACTCTTTGCCGTTTTTTTTATCATTTATTTTTTTTATTTATAGTGATTTTAGAAATTGGTTATGTTTCTCATACACGTGGAAATAAAGTCATTTGTTATAGTACAGTTGATAAAATTCCACAATCCGGAACTAAAATCTACGTTAAAGAATTAAAAGCAATTGGAACTGTGGATAAAAGGCTCACCAAAAACGGCCCTGTACGTTCTATCTTATTCTATAAGTTTTTTTTTTCGCTAAGGGTTAGGCTTTTTCAGCTGGCTTATAGCTCTACACAAATTTTTGTAAGCCATTTCGAAATGGAAGTGTAAGTGGACAGATGGATAGACAGCATTATTCGGATTGTTTCATAGATAAGTTTATTGATTGCTGGTGGCAGCAGGAAATTCAACATGAGCCTCCCGAAACTGGAGTAACAATCCGCTTATCCGAACCACTTCCTTTCCTTTTAACAATCCCTTCTTCCTTTTTACATCCTTTTTTAACAAATCGCATCATGTGAACTTATTTCACTTCTTTTTTTCGATTCTTTCATTTCGCATAATCATGAAATTCTGCGAAATCTAATATTAAATTTTATTCAGTTAATTTTTTTTCGCAGTGATTCGCTCAATTAGAATCGTTTTAGGGCTTTACAGTAACGATGGAAGCTGATTTGCAAAATTCAGACTTCAGAGCGGGGCAGGCGGTTTGTGCTAGCCAGCTAAAGCTTAAAAGTATTTATGGAGCTAAGCCGAATAAAGGAGCGCAAGGTTAGTGGCTAGGTTAACCACATTTATAGTAATAGATATTTTTCGAATAATTTTGCTAAAATAATATAGAAGTTATTGGTTTTAATCGGCAATATATTGGCAGATTTTAATAAAACAGTTTTAAGATTTTTTATTCAAAAATTATTTATTTCAATTGAAAGGTCCAATTTTATTATTCAATTTGGAAAATTATTTTGCATGGGGTTTTAATTGAAAAATTCAAAATTCAAATTTAATTCGAAGAAATTTAAAAATGAAAAAAAATTTACGAAAAATAGGCTTTCATACGAAATAAACTAAGAAGATTTGGCGATTTTTTAATAATTTTTAGAAATATTATTTTTTTTATATTTTTTATATTTATTTCGCGCAAAAAATTTTTGTTTCAATTAACGTGGATTTTAGGTAGAAGTGGAACTGATCCAATCGGTGGTGAATTTTGCGGAACTGATCCAGGTGGAGGTGGAATGAGAGAGGCTACTTGTAGTGGATTCGAATTTAATAGAGAAATTGGAGAAGTTGGTGGAGGGTTTGGAGGTGGATTTCATACTGGTGACGGTTTGCTTATAGAGTTTGGTAGAATTTTAAGTGGATTTTCAGAAATTAATCTGGCAGCAGATAGGCTTGGAGCCTTTCATAGCTATGGGTTTCAAGGGCCTTACGTCGGAGGAAATTTGGTAAGGACTGATTGGGATGGAAGGGAATTTATAGGAACTGGTCCGCTACAAGGACGGTTTCAGAGTTTCCATAATAGTGGATTTCAAGGAACTGATTGGGTTGGAAGGGAATTTAGAGGAATCGGTCGGCTAAACGGAGGGTTTTCTCAGGGTTTCCATAGCGGTGGATTTCGAGGGGCTTGTCACTATGGAGCTAGTTCGACAGAGACTGATTGGGTTGGAAGGTTATTTAGAGGAACTGGTCCGCTAGAAAGAGGGTTTCAGAGTTTCCATAGCAGTGGATTACAAGGAGCTGATTGGGTTGGAAGGTTATTTAGAGGAACTGGTCCCCTAGAAAGAGGGTTTCAGAGTTTCCATAGCAGTGGATTACAAGGAGCTGATTGGATTGGAAGGGAATTTAGAGGAATTGGTCCTATTGGAGAGGGATTTCCGCGGCTTTGCAGCAGAGGACATAGGTTTACAAGAAGCCGATGGTAGATTTAGGATTGATCCAAGATGAGATGGATTTGGAAAACAGATTAGAATGTATTCACAGAAAGTGATTTAAAAATTTGAGGCATAGGTGAATCTATAGGGGTAGGTGGATTTATAAGGATTATAATGGTTCAGGCAGAGTTTTAAAGGGATTTACAGTGGAGATGAATTTAGAGAGGTTGTCATAGAAAAGTGGATTTAGAACAATTGGCTTGGGTGGAGGTGAATTTATGTGGACTTTTAATGGTAGGTACTGAAACTGCTCATAGTGTGCCATTTAGAGGAGCTGGGGAGGAAAAAATAAGTGGTACATGAAACCTTCTTTATTACATGAGAAGAACGCCGAAAAAGTAAAGTAATTCCATACCAAAAAAATGTAAGTAATTAAGTAAGATTGATTATTTACGATTCGTTTAATATAGTATTCGTAAAATTTTTTCACGGACCCTCTGGTAGGGTACCACAAACATCCATGCACCCTTAGTGCAATATTTTCAAATTTAAAATTTTTTGAATTTTATTATTAAATTTTATTATTATTATTAATGATGAACAAATGACATAATGATTTATTGCCATTAAAAACGATTTATTAGCGATCAAATGAAATAAATAATTCGATTGGGCTCCCACGCATACTTTAGGTAACCGGGACTGGGGTTTGACGACCACAATGTTTCAGCACCATTATCTCATTTAACACAATTTATCATGGCAAAGCACTATACTCGAACTTTTTTTGCATTGGTGAAACGAATTTAGTAAATTTTGGATTAAAATAGCTTTACTCAACTTTTTTGGCCATCCTTCCTCTTCGGCTATTTACTTACATCTTGCACCATTGGTCGATTTGAATTACTGCGTTGGCTTTTCTAAGTCCACAACTCAGAAACTACAGTTGTGACTTATGATTATTTGAAGCCATTCTTTTTCGAAGCTATGTGGCGTTGAATCTTTGGGCCTTATTTTGTATGAGCTCAAAGACAAAGTACATATAAATTTTTGGTTTCTTTATTTTGAAAAAATATTTCTTTGGCAAAAAGTTGAGATAAACAGCTAAAAATGCCTTTTTATAAAAAATCTATTTTTCTAATAAATACATTTAGATTTTTCATAAAAATTTTTCATAGGTCGTCAATTGTTTTTGTGAAAAATGAAATTCAACGCTCTAAAATGAAATTATTATTATCGAATTGTTGTAAAAAAAAGTATTGTAAAAAAAGTATTTCTTCTTATTAATTTTCTTATCATATTTATCTTTGTGAAATTTTTTTCTATTTTTAGTATTATTCCGTGTTGTTTTTTCAAGTTTTTACAAATGTTTATCTTTTTGTATTTGAATATATTTTTTATATTATTTTTCTAATTTAAATATATTTCTTGTACTATTTTTTATTCGAATGAAGCCAAATGATTAATTTTTTTTTTAAACATTGATTAATTTCAAAAATTTTATTGTATTTTTGTCACTCTTATTTTATATTTTATTTTAGAAAGCGTTGAAATCTCTGTTAAATGGAATGGAAAAAAAATAAATGAGATTGAAAAAAAAATTTTTTTTGGCACTTTTATTATTTGTTGCTCATCTAAACAAAATGAATAAAATTTTCTGAGATTCCCTATAGGAGTAAGCAATTTCCACAATTTTGCATTTTTTAGCATTTGGTGTAATTAGTCTCTCTTATAGAGTACTGCTTGGAGCGTAGCGGTCCAGATTTTGCTTAGCCCTCCTCGCTTTTGACTTCGCACAGTTTAACAAGTAAATAGATCAATTTTTGAACGCTTCCCATGCATTCTCTAAGTGTCACCATGGGCCCCATCGTATTGGGAGAAAGAACACATGAGAGCATTCTATGATGACATTCTTAATGGCGTTCGAGCAAAGATGGATGCAGTTAGAAGAAACTTGTTCGAGGAGTGTGTAAGATAGTTGATAGCCAGGGGACAGATAATTTATTTCCCGATATCTTCTATTGCCTTTAGCTGTTTCGTAGACGTGGCTGGTTTAAGCATACTGAAGATGCGAACTCGTTTTGAGACTACTTTTCTACGATTTCAAAGAGGAAAGGTGAAATAAGGCATTTCTAGCTTCAGTTATTCTGTCTTGGATTTCAACCTTCGCCTAGGGAATGAAGTAGATACGGGGTTTAAAGCCAGTCACTTCTCGATACCTTGGTAAATTTATAGAAATTGATCTTATTATTGCCTTTTTTCTCTTATAAGATTTTCTTATTTTGCACAATTTTAACGTATTTAGTAGTATTTAGCTGCTGTAATAATTATAAATTCATAGTATTTAATTAATTCTATTCGTTTAACAGAGCCTTCCAATCGAATTATCCTTTTCACAAACACCAATCACCACAGTTCTTCCTCAATCACCTTCGAATTCCTATTGTACTCCTTCAATAATTTGAATTATCGTCAAGCTGACCTAATTGTGTCAAAATCGCGTTGTATTCAACAATACGTTAGGCGAGCAAAATGGTGGCAATAAAAGGCTTAGACTGTATAGATCTGAAATGGTCAAAGAGATGGTTAAAAGAAGATTTAGGAGATATTAGCCTAGGAAATATTTCTATGAAAAATGGTAGCGGTGATTAACGCATTGGTGCATAAGTTGGCAGTACAAGTAGAAATATAGTTAAATCAATTCTGAAACATCGACAGACCTGTTTTTTCAATATTGCTTCACACTTCGCCATATTCTTTAAATTAAGACCTTAACGATATGACCTTAAATTCCATTATGCGGAGTGATCTGCTTTAACCTGTGATCTCCATCCACACAACCTGTTATGCTCGCTCGTAGTTCCGATAACAAAATAAGTATACTTAAGTTTATATGCTTGACCACTGTTTAAAATGTTTTATGCTTATATGTCTCTTCTTTTTATATTTGATCGCCAACCGCTTTAATTTTATCGAATTTTACAATTAGTAAGCGCTTCGTTGTGAACTCTGACCCTTTTGTTAAGAAACCCTTATCATTGACCTTTTTTACTTTTTTAATAACATTTAAATTAAACATATCATATATATATTGTCCATTGCTTCATCTTTATCATTTAAATAAAATATTTGCCAATGCATAAGTTTTCTTCTAAATATCTTGAAATGCTATTCAAATATTTAAATTAGAGGATAAGAAGGCTTGGTGGGTTGTTGCTCAATTCAGAGGACCAGTACTAAGGTTCTGTTCCCACAGGAGTAAACGTGTCCAAAAATCCGAGTGATGCTGGCGATTCACCCTTCTATCGCGAAAGACTCTCTGGCATAGCTATTCAGTGCGACAAGCCAGCCCAGCGAGCTTAACCAGTAATGATAGAAACTTTTTAAAAAAAATTAGAGGCCTCCAGGCTTTTTCTTGTGTGCATCTTCTTCTTCTAACAACTCTCACCATTACTGGTTAGGCTGGCTCCAACGGCTACAAGGGTAAGATATTTCCAAGCGGTGCGGTCTGATGCCATCGTCCACAGTAATGGAAGCCATTCCTCTTTCCATCGTCTAAATCCATATATTGCTGGTCCATCTAAACGTTCAAAATCTTTTCTCACCGTATCAGTCCAGGTTTTAATTGGCCCATCTCGCTTTTGACGCCAACCATCACACGGTTTAACAAATAACTTGTATGGATCACTCACAAAAAATTAATTATATTTATAAAAATTAATTATATAAAAAAAATTATATTTTGCATATTGTGTTATAAAAATTAATAAAAAATATTATGAAAACATTATGAATGAATTAATAATATGAGGATTACCATGCAATTTTCAAATTTATACGTTATATTCCTCATTACCATTAGTTAACCAAAATGATTTTTTTTATTAGTTGAAAATGAATTATATAAATTAATTAACTGATTTATTCATGGAGCTCCTTACTTTAACCTTCCCCCCCCCACCCCTTTTTTTTTTATTTTGCTCTTATAAATCTTAATACTCACAAAAGCTCGTTAAATTATCTGTCCAACAAATTGAAACCATAAAAGCCATCTCAAATTCTTTAAAACTCCAATTTTGTGAAATCTAAACTACTATTAAATAAAAAAGTCACAAGGAAAAAATCAGACTGGAAAGGACAAAGAGCTAAAGCTTGTAAATAACAGTAGAAATAAAATTTTAACAGGTGCGTAGGTGATTTAGTGGTAAGGTAATTGTCACCGAGAACCGCGAAAGTAGGCGGAATGTCTTATTGAGTTCCTTTTCGGTTCGGAGCGCTAATGTTGAGGTTCTATGGCGGACAGAAATAAATCTTTCCAAAAATACGGATGACACTGGAGACTTACTTTTATTTACTTCGATCGCCAAGTAACTCTCTAGCGAAAATTTGCCTTCTCCGAGAAGAGAGCCAAAAAAGCACAGCAATGGTGAGAGTTTTTGAGACAATAAAATAAAATAAAATTAGGTAATTTCTAAACTTCCTAATGATTATCTGCATTTATATTTCTGAAATGTCACTCAAACTCTGACCTTTGCAACCTAATTTTTTTTTCCTTCTCACCATTACTGGTTATGCTGGTCCCGCTGGTGAAATATAATTTCACCTTTTTCACCTAATATCATATAAATTATCAAAGAAACGATGGTAATCATTACTCATTTGGCAACATTTGTATTCTTTGCCTCATTTGTTAGAATCCTTTTAAATCGCTTGCTTGCCGTTTAAAACCTTTCATATGCACTATACTCCCCTCTCAATATTTAATACCTACTTCTTTATGGTTCTTTAACGCTCAACCAAGTCTCAACGAGTCGCCGCAGCGATAGTAATCTGAAATTCTAAAAGCAATGTGGTGATTGGCGTTATTTACTGGGAACGCGAGACTATTAAGTAAAAATTATGAGGAATTAGAAAAGGATATAGAACAGTGTTAGCGTCGCCGAACGATGAATGCAGAAAGAGGAACGCAACAACAAAAAACCGATCGCACGGCGAGTTCGACCGATTCTAATCAGTTCCATATAAATCGCAGTATCGCGAAGACGAAAAAATATCAGAGCGAGTATAATGATAATTAGTAATGAGGAATAGAGGATTCCGAGGGAAAACAACTAGCATAGCATTTGATGCTAACACTTCCACAGTAACCTATGAAGAAGTACCAACCACAAGTACAGATTTAAAAACATTTTGGCTTCTGTAAGAGGCTTTTACTATTTGCGCCGCGTTTTAGAAAACTGAAATTTGCAGCTCCTTCGGCTCCTTTTAAATTTGTCAAAGCATATCAAAGCATATTTTCGTAAAAATTATTTTTTTTAAGTTTCATGTGGTCTATTAAGAATAAAATTATTCAAAGTAATTTGATTAGATTGATTAATTTAATTGTTTTTTATTAATATTTATAAAAATCAATAATCTTTTGTAATAATTATCTTTAAAATAAAATAAAAATAAAATTGGAAACAAAATTTATGAATAAAACTTAAAATCTAATTTAAATGTTTGCTTTTTAGTTTTTCAGTGATTTCATTTCGTTAAGCTTTTATCATTTTATCATTTTATAATCTTTTTTTTATTTGCCTTCATTTCATTTAGTTTTCATTTCTTTTTGCTCATTTAATCAAAATTTGATGCATTGGATGAATTCTTTTTATCAGTTATTTATTTTTAACGCATATCGAGGTGGCGGCTTTAACAGTTTTCAGTTTTATGCTAGTGATAAGACATTTTATTCTACTATTCAATATTATTTGTGGGATAGAATGGGTTGTTGCTCAATTTGGAGCGCTGATGCTAAGGTTCGGTTCACCGCAGGAATATACAAATCTATACAAAAATCCGGGTGATGCTGGCGTCTCATCTATCGCTAGGGGACTCTTTGGCATTTTGCTTATTGCGACAAGCCAGTGGAACGAGTTTAACCAGTAATGGACTCTTATAAAAAAAATTCAATATTATTTAACACTAGTGATAAGACAAAGTTGCTGCAATAGAGCTGTTTGCTATTTGATCCGTTTGCCCTTCAAAATTGGTTATTTTCCATCCTTATTCCTTCGATTTTTCTAATTCAAGCTTTTCTTCTTCTAATTCCTTTATCAGCACTTTACTGTTTCTGGTTTGGCTGATTCTGCTTTCTGGTTTTATAATGGATCTCTCGGAATCTCTTGGAAATACGGTTATAGGAGATGCACTCATCATTGCCCAGCTAAATTGCTTTCGCTTTCGTTAGATACTCGTTTCCTTTCCCCAGTTTTCATTTCCTTCTTCCCATTTCTACTTATATGTTTGCAGTATACTTAATCATCTCATTGTCATTGAAGCAGCTTATTCCTATTTTCAGCAGCATTTTTCGCTTATTTCACTAGTGTTTGTTCAGAACTTATTGATAATGAATGGATTAATGCGGTGTAGCTGGATTTGGATGGTTAATGTGATTAAAGATGTGACTGAAAAATGTAGCGGATTTTGCCGAGAGTGCTAAAGATTGCAACAAGAAAAGAGTGAACATAAAACAAATTTCGTATTTAGAAACCACATTCCTATCAGCCACCACCCTTTTTTCTCGCACGTACATATAGCAAAATAAAAGTAATTATATATACTTATTAATGAAATTTACTTGCAGAACTATACGGGATATTTTGCTAAAATTGTAATTATGGTATCTGCACAAAGAAGAGGAAGAAGTTGGGGAGATGGTGGCAATAGGCGTTCTTATGGTGGCAGATTTGAACAAGGCTCAACAGATCAAATTATCGGTAAATTTCTTCGTAGATTTTTGCTTTTATTTCACATTTTTTCTTTTATTGCATATATTCTTGGTTCATTTGAGGTTATTTTCCTGTACACTTTTTTGAAAATTATTTTCTGTTTATTTTATCAGAACTCGGTTATTTTTCTCACAAATGTGAAAATGATATCATATGTAATACTGTGATTGACAAAGTACCATATTTCAATGCACCGGTTTATTTTGAAAATAAAGAACAAATTGGAAAAGTGGATGAAATTTTCGGAAAAGAAGGCGAACATGTAAGTTTGCCAATAAATTTTTTTTAATAATATTTATTTTCCAACTTATTTTATTAGTGTATTTTTTTATTTTATTATATTTTATTAGTGTTTTATTTCCTTTTTATTATTTTTATTTTCGAAAAATTATATAATTAAAAATTAATTGTGCAATTTTTTTTTCACAGCGATTAGCTTATTAAAAATTATTTTAGGGCTTTTCAGTAAAATTGGATAGTGGTTTACAACCTTCCTCTTTCACAGTGGGGCAAAAGATATATATTAATACTCAAAAGCTTTTAAGTTATGATAGAATTGATCAGCCTCGGGGTAGAGGTGGAAATCGAGGAGGAGCCGGTCGAGGACAAGGTTAGATCATTCGTTCCATAATGTTTTTGTGTATATTTTGATAAATATAATAGGTTTTAACACAAAATATAAAAAATAATAATTACATAATTTTGAGGTGGTCGAGGAAGAGATTCTCGCGGCCATGATCGACCAAGATTTGGAGGTGATCGAGGAGGACGTCAAGGTTTTATTTCGTTTTTAAATCTTTATAGTGTTTTTTTTTTATTTTCGCTACGAAATTTGCTTTGTATTTTTTTATAATTTAAAATATGAGAAAGAAAGGTTCATGATTATTTTATTGTAATTGTTAGAAATATTTTCCAATATTTATTCATTCTTTACCAAAAAATTCAGATTTTGATTTTATTTCATTTAATATGAACTTAAGGTGGAAGAGGTCGTGGTGGTGGTGGTGGATTTGGAGGAAGTGATCGCGGTAGAGGTGGATTCAGAGGAAATAGTCGTGGTAGAGGTTGGTTTAGAGAAAGTTTTATCACTATTTTAATGCAGTTAAATCCCACAGATCTATTACTATAAAAGGTAAAAACTTCATAAAATGAGACAAATCTTAAAGAATTTTGCAGAAGTGGCCGTACCACACAAAAAACTAAGGAATTGTTGTTTTTTGATCATTTTAAAATCATTTCTGGTTTATTTACTACTGAAATATTCATATATTGAAATATTTCTATCTTATGATTACAATTTCCTGAAATACTTTTGCTTTCCTTGTACATTCACCTTTTTCTATTAAAAGCCATTTCTGGTTTGGCTGGCAAACAAAGGAGCCTAAGCATGACCTGGATTGCCACGTGAATCGGGAGAGATTTTTGACAACATAAGTGGTCAAGCTGTAGCTTTAAATTAGAAAAGATTGAAAATGATAGCATGGCGCTGGGTTGTAAGATCTGAGGTTTAAGGAAGCAAGAACTTATGAAAGTTCTTAAAAATTAATTTTTTTTTATATTTTATTTAAATCGTTATATATGGAATTTTATAGGTCAATCATTTCATATGCAAAACGGTTTTGCTAAGCGGAAAAAATTCGTTGATTGAAAATCATCAAACTTTTCTGTTAATCTGTTTAAAACAAAAATTTTTTATTGATTTGTATGTTTATTATTGGCATGAATTTATTTATTATAAAAGTGAGAAATTGTCAGTTGTCGCCAGACGGTGAATACAAAATGTTATTTGGAAGTGGTAAATCTTGAAATAAGATCTGAAATAGCAATTTGCCTTGTCAACCACTATTATCAAATATCAATTAATTAAGAGAAATGTGTCGATGGTTTAATGGCATGCGATTTAGTAAAAGGATTCAAATGGCCCCACAAAGAAAGCAGAAAGAAAGCAAGAAAAAAACCAATAGAATAAGAGGTTCCAATGTCGTTTACGGCTCATTGAAAGAAACAAAAAAAGCCCTTGGTGGAGGCCAATAAGAATGGAAGTGAACCCGCAAGGTTATCGGCCGTTTGGTGACTAACGTTGGAGAACTTAGAGAAAAAGTGAACTAAATTTTAAAGCTCAGAAATTAGGAAGCAAATATAAACTGTGGATGAATTCGAAATAATCCGAGGAAAGGATCCATCGAATGGATGAAATTTACGCTTCGGATAGATAAAAGAATCCATTAGAAGAATTCACAGTCAAGAAGATCGCTTTTTTAGTGATCAACGCCGACAATTGTCCTAAAGTTGACATAGGAAAATTGTGCGTGGTAATTGCAAAACTTGCAATAATTTATTTGAGGCAGCCAAGCAGTGTGATAACCGCCATGTGCTTATTAATATTTATAATTCTCGGCGGTGATAAGTCGCCTTGTTATCGCTTTTACTCGAAAATTTCTGGCTAATGCGGCTCAGCAGGCGGTTAGAAAATTTCGATGTGGAATCACCTGGCGATACGATAGAAACGCTGGTGTACTGGTTAACATAATGGTGGATCTCTGCGGTGGGGAACATGTTGTGCATCTATTGAAACCAAACAGCCGCTTTCTTTCACGGCTCTCATTTCGTGGATTTTGGCACAATTCAAATAGATTCGCTTTTTAGTTCTTCAAATTCTATTACAATATTTTTCGAATTGCGAGATAAATATCCAAAAATTTTTAGCGTAGCAAATTTTCTTATAAATCGTCACATTGCTTTTCACCATCGAATATCTGAAATTTATTGTATTTGTCCGATATAATTAACGAAAACTAAATTTAAAAACAGAAAATTATCGTTAAAATTTCGAATAAAGTAAATTTCTTTTCGTGAGATTAATAACTATTAATAACTATTTTTTCGTAAGATTAATAAAAAGGAACTTAGAATTATTCTCCGCGCAGTCGTATTCAATCATTGGTACCACGATTTTTGATTTAATTTAATTTATATTCTTAGCTTAATCGCTGCTAATCGCTGCTAAACAGCTGCATTGTGCCTCGTGCATTGCTCAGTTCTCTTATTTCTCTTAGTTTCGCATGCACGGTTTCTTTATAAATAAATAAATAAATAAGTGAATAATTATAACAATAAATAAAAATGTTAAATATTAAATATAAAAATCAAAAAAATAAAAAAGGAAGAAATACCATAGAAATCAAATAGCCAATAAGCTGCCGCGATTTTTAAATTTCAATTTAAATTTTAATTTAGCCAACTTGATTTTTATCAATAAAATCTCTTATCAGAATCTGATTATTTTAAAGTTTTTATCACTTTTATCATATTTCCTTTTTCTTTCTAAATTAAATCCTCGCTGTTTTATCGAATTTTTAAAAATTTTACTTAAGGTCTTCAAGCGAATGTTTGATTTTCGTAATTTGATCTTTGATTTTTGTTCATTTTTCTGGCGTCTTAATGGATGAAGGGTGAAACCTTATATTGGGGAGGTGAGAGGGGAGGGAGAAGGGGGGGGGGCGAGGAGGTGTTTGTGGCTGAGAAGCAGAAAGTTTGAAAGGGTGATGAAGGGAAATTTTTCCGAAATTATTTTATTTTTGCTCCACTTTATATATATTTTTCAAATATTTTTAGAAATATTATTTTGTTTTTTTAAATTTCATGAATATTTTGTATTTTGTATGTATATTTTCGCATGACACTTTAGGAAGCGATATTTCACTTTATTTTTCGAAAAAGCGGTACTTTTGAGTAAATGAAGGATATTTTCGAATAAATGTACAATAGTATTGAATGAATTATTTGTATTTAAATTTTTTGGCAAGTTAAGGGTGTTTTTGAGTAAATTGGCGATCATTTGCAGCGTGCAAGTGGTCCGCATTTAAGAAAAATAATCATGACGAGGAATTGCTCGGAAATATAATTTTTCCTGTAAAAATATAGAAAAGTGACAATTATCGATTACATAAAGCTATATGAGATTGCTTTAAGGATTTAAGCTGAAAATAAAAATTAATAAAATCTATGAGTCAAAGCTGATTTAAAAAATTTATAAAACTTTAATAAATTAATCGAACAAATAAAATAAATAAATTTGTAAAATTTCTTATAATTTCTTATAATATAAATTTATAAAAAAATTATTAAATTTATTATTTATATAATTTGTAAATTTTGCTCGTATATAAAATTTTTCAATTCTAAAATTTGGTTCTCTTTTTTTTTTCAGATCACTATGACACATAACATTGGAAATTTTATACTTATATCAGCACCGAATGAGAAAACTGCTCAAGAAACATGGGACCGTTTAAATCAAGCCACTGGAAATCTATCAACTAATTATAAATTTAATATTCCCGATTTGAAGGTAAAAAAAGTCGTTTTTAAGATAAATCTGTTTAGTGTTTCGGTTTTTTTTTGGTCTTTGGAAATCGATAATAGTGAATAAATTTAGCAATAAATAATTCATTTATGTCGATATTTCTTGCAACGCTTGATCCTTCTAATTTGTTATGTGAAATGATGCAACTTTAGTATTTGCCGTTCTTATTTAGGTTCCATTGGTTGTTAATATGGTGGGAATTCCTTGCTGGGTTATTTGGGTGTAAAAGGTGGATCCTTTTTTTAATGGTAAAAACATATCCGTTTGTCTTCTTTCAACCATAAGTTTTGGTTTTCAGCTTATAATGATTTTTAAAAATCTAAATGTCTTTCCGTTTTTTTAGGTTGGCACGTTGGATCAATTGGTCGGGTTATCTGATGACCTTGCAAAGTTGGATACAGCTGCCGAACAGTATGTTTCAATAGCAAATGCATCCAATAATTATTATTATTGAATTATTTCCATGAAATTATCACGAAAATTTTTAAAATTTCAATAAATCATAATATAATTTGCATAAAAATTTGGTATAAATTAATTTTAGAATAACGCGTAAACTCGTGCAGTTTTATTTTGATTTGAAAACCGAAGATAATAAACCAATACCCGAAGAATTAAAAGTGAATGATAGTTAGTGTTTTTTAAGTATGATTTTTCTGCTGTTATACGTCATCCATATGTAAATATTGAAAATATAAATATCGTTATTTTAATTTAGAGGATGTAAGAACGTATATTATGAATTTCAAATGGGATAATGGAATGTATCCTTCGAGAACACCGTTGAAGACTCTTAGTGAAGTGATTGGTCAAGTAAGTTTTGTATTTTTCAAATTGTTTTTTGATTTCATTTATCATTTTTTCCATTTTTTAAATTAATATATTATAATATATTATAATAAATATTATAATAAAATTTTTCGAAATTTTGCTATTATTATAGAGAAGACTGCAGATTCTGTTCATTTTTTAGCGAATAACAAAGATTGAAAGTGATTTGAAAACAAGCGCAAATTCGTATAATGCAGTTAGAAATACTCTTGCGTCAATGGAACGAAAAGCAGCGTTAGATATTTCAAATAATTATAATAATATTTTTTTTCAAAAATAGGTTCAGTTCCAAAATTATTTTCATTTTTATTTGAGTTTTCTTTTTATGATTTTATTTATTTTTTTAGAGCTGGTATTATGACTAAAGACTTGTCCGAAATCGTTAAAGCGGAAGATTTCGTATTAAATTCTGAATATTTACAAACATTGATGGTTGTTGTGCCAAAGTTTGTTTAAATTATTTTTTCAGATTAATTTTTTTTGTAGTTTCAGTAATTTAAATCGATAAATGATAAAGTGAATTTTATCCATCTTCTTTGTCTTTTCGCATTTTATTTATTTTTCTATTATTTACAGGGTGCTAATGAAAGATTGGTTTGCGAAGTATGAAACTCTAACAGATATGGTTGTTCCTGCGTCATCTCGATTGATCTTTGAAGATAATGAATATAAACTTTTTTCTGTTACTTTATTCAAAAAAGTGATTGACGAATATAAACTTCGATGTCGTGAAAATAAGTTAGTAATAGTTATTTATTGTGAATGCAAAAAAGTCAGATATGTTCTAATCGATTAACTTTTTATTTACTATCTAACCAGCTTTTTTTTCCGGTTCATTGTTCGCGATTTCGTATATGATGAAGAATCTTTAAAAGCAGGGCGGACAGAAAGGATGAAATTGCTGCAAGAAAAAGAACGACAGTACTTGCCTCTTGTACAGCGCTTAAAAATTTATTTTGGTGAAATGCTATCTTCTTATATTCACGTCAAAGCCCTCCGAGTATTTGTAGAAAGCGTACTAAGGTAGTATTTTATTTTTTTATACATTATTTAGTTTTTCACACTCCAGCTCCTCTTGTTTCCTATTCATTTTAAATTCAGATATGGATTGCCAGTGAATTTCCAAGCAATGTTGCTTGAACCGAATAAAAATTCGTCCAAAAAATTGCGGTCTGAGCTAAACAAATTATACGTTCATCTTGATGCATCAGCAGCAGGACCTATTGATGTTAGTTTATTTATTTTTTTATAACAATTACTAGTCGATTTTTTCTTAGGCAGGCATTTTTAATAATCTTGTTCAAAATTGAAATTTCAGATGATTGAAGATAATCCTACACTAATGTCATTGGGAATGCATGATTATTATCCTTATGTGTCCTTCAATCTTAACATGGAATTTATTATTTGGCCGCATAAATCTTGATTCTAGAGGAAATAAGAAAATAAGTGGTCATTTTATATTCTGGTCTCGAATTTTTCAACTTAAAAAAATATAAATTTTGATTCTAATTAATTCTGATGAAAAAAAAGAAATATAAAAAAGTAATATTTTACTATTGAAAATTTGTCAATATTATTTCACTGATTCAAATTTAACTGATTCAAATTATTTTATATGTCATTCCTCATTGTATTGGTCATTTAGAGATTTTTTTAAATTTATTGATATATGGTATAATTCACTTGTATTATATTATATTTGTATTGGAATTATCAACTAGTAGTTGTTATCTAGACGAATAAAATTATTAGGCGAATCAGAAAAATCTATTTCGTTTTGTTTTCAAAATATTTTTTTATTCGTTCTATTGTGCATAAATGATATAACAGCTGAATAAAGAGATCGAGTAGTTGTATTTTATTTTATGGAAAAAAAATCTATCTATAATCGAGCAAATTTTTCATAGTTGTAGTTTTATATTATGGTAGTTCAGTATTATTCACTAGTAAAGTTTTAAGTGGTCATTTTTTATTTTAATTATTTAAACGTTTGATTCTTTTCCCGACCCGAATCGGCAACATATCGTTTTGCATTGAAACGATTTTTTATTCGTTATTAGATATTCATTAAATTAGCATATTTGTAGAACCATAGTTGCACTGAGAAGGTTCCATGATTCCAAAAAATAAGTTGTGAGCGGTTTATAGCTAAGCATGGGTGATAGATGGTCGCAGGAGAGAGGTATAGCGTGGCACGGGAGTCGTTGACTTTTCTCAAGGTTTTGTTGTGAATGGATATTACTCATCTAGCTTATCCATTCGAAATGAGAGAAATTGGGGTTTGGCCGAAAATCGATGAATTGTAGTTATTTTACCATAGCTGTGTCTTCCAAAAGAAATTTGTGGTATTGAGGAATCGTGGTGCGAGAACGGTGTTCCTCAACATTTCCGAGGTGAATGTGGTTCAATCTAAACTTTGTTCATTGCATAGCGATTCACCGTTTGCATGAAAATATTGTCGCCACTACGTTTTTTCTCATTTCATTTTCGATTTGACAATACAAATTTCTCATTTCGCGGAAAATTAATTTATAAGTAAAAGTCTTATCTTTAACCTTAAAAAATATTTTCGCTGAGAAACTGATAGAGTGCAATCTCTATTATTGAGAGCATAAGACAGCAAATCAACAGGTGGCAACTAAATTGACCTGTGGTACCATTGTCAACGAGGACCGCGTTTTTGCTCAGCTGTGGCCATAGATTTTTAGCGATGCTTGCAACAGTTGTCAAATGTAAGTTTAATCTATAATTTTGTGAATTAATAATTGTTTCGAAGAGAATCGTTTGAGGTAATTTTTTTTATTTTAGGAATCAATTATTGCGAAATCGAAATTAGATTGTTAAATTAATCTGATAGTCAAATTATTATTAATTCCTTTCTCATATAAAAAATATAAAATCATTAAAACTTATTTTATAAAAAAGGAAATAGAAAAAGAAAGGAAAAGAAAAGGAAATAGAAAATGAATAGTTTTTTTTTCCTGAAAGCTCTCACCACAGGTGATTTAACTCGTTCCGCTGGACCAGGCAAATTGCTTGCCAATGAACCATTTGACAACGGAAATAGAAGAGAGGAGCGACGCGAACTTTTGACGATAGAAATGGAAATACGAGCACCACCCGGCCTTTTGACAATAGGAGCACGAATCGAGTGTAAGCACCGTCCGGACTTTTAACAATAGAAATACAGTGAGTCGCAAGCACCACCAGGGTTTTTGACGGTAGAAGCACAAGTCGGGTGCAAGCATCGTCCGGATTTTTACGATTTACTTCTGTCGAAATGAAAATATCGGCATTTTGGAGCATCGCTAATGCTTTGTGCTTTATCCAGTCGCTTATTTCATATGAGCTTTTCTTCCTTATACTTGTTTTTTTTTCTTCTTAACAGCATTCATTATTTTAAGCTTATTTGCCTCGAAAAGATGATTGATAGCTTTTGTTTAGAGAGCCGTCACTTGAGGATGAGAAATATCTTCGGTGTCCTTGGCACTAATCGGATTTCTTAGCCTAATTCACCCTTAATGCGTGGTGCGTGGTCTCCGTCGAAATCACCTACAGCTCAGTGATTGTTTTCTTTTCCACAAAGAGGCCTTCTTCTTCGAAATGCTAAGCCGTCAGTGTATTTAAGTGAATCGCCATTAATCGATTCTTTGAATGAAAGGTTCACTGCTGGGAATCCCAACAGAATCCCAAATGAGAGAACGCTACGTGATTGTTACGTCATAAGGGTTCATTTCCTAACTGCATGCTTTTTTTGATGCTATTAGGTTGAGAATAAAGCTGAAATCTTGGCTGAAGAGGAGAAAATAGAGGCTGAACGTGAGACTGGGACTGAAGGCAAAATAAATCGAACTATATTACTGTTTATTTTCAAATAATTCAGCGTCAATATTTTGCAAGATATTTTTTTCCTTTTGCTCGCATAGTATTTAGGTCATTATAGTTTTTTTTTCTAAAAATACTTATAATTTCTGGCACTCGGCTAATTTGTCGGATCGATCAGTCATTCTGCCAAGGAGATATTTGGCAACAGAAATAGTAGAGTCGCCAGCATCGCCTAGGTCTTTGGACTTCAGAAAGGAGAACCCCAACATCAGCACTCCGAAATTTGATTAGCGACCCATTGAGCCATTCCACTTCGTTCATTGTAATTAATTTTCGAAAGCTTGATGCACTTTCTTTTCTTTATCAGTAATTCTTTATCTTTTCTTTATCAATAATTTAGATTCGTTTTGAATATTGTTTTCCTTGACCTTCTGATTTTTTTTTGCATGAATACTGTTTTTTGCAGAAATTGGACTTATTGATTTATCTCTGTCGAAAAAAGTATTTTACAATTAGTCGAGCTGGAAAATGGCTACAAATGATTGTTGGAAATTAAACATGGATCTCATTTTTGAAGTAAATGTCTTTATTTTTTATTATTTTTCTTCTTAGCATTTTTCGAAAACTAAATTTTTAAAGTCGATCTATATCTCAATTATTTTTTTTTTTGGATGCGAAACGTCAATATGTATTCTTTTTGATGAGAAATTCAAGCAAATTATTGGAAAAATTGGCTGAAATATAGTGAGTATTGTTAGATAAGCATAAATATATATATCATAAGAATTCATATAATGCTCCTTTTTTTTCATTTCAGAATTATTTGAATATTCGTGAATGGAATAAAGATAAAAAATTGATTGGCTTCATTTTTGGAAAATTTTCTATGAAACAAATTTACAGTGTTTATTTTGGATCGCCAAATGATTTGGATATCGCTATTGATTTAATTCAATTCATTGAATCTTCACTTACTTCAGGTAAACCGTTCATTTTTTTTATTTGTTCCTGTTTTATTTTCTTTCCTTTTTTTGCAGTTTAGTCTTTAAAATTCTTTTTTAAATTTTATTCACATTAAGATTTTTTTTCGATTTGAATACAACTTTTAATGAATCTCGCATTCTGCTAAAATTTTATCTTATTAATTCGATTTCTACTGCTTAATAGGAATAAATTTGTCATTAAAAGCGAAACCTGTGTGGTTTTTAGGCTTCTTCGTTAATAATTTTTCAGTTATTTGTTCATAAAAAGTTCAAGCAAATAAGTAAAAAGTATGTAAGCCAAGGCGATTTTTTAATATTTTTGCTATTTTTTGTTTATAGATTTGTCGTTTGTTGGAGTTTTTACTCTAATTGATATGGTATATAATTTTGATGTATCATCATTGGATTCAATCGTTGATGAATCGGAAAATTTTTTGAATTTGTTTATGACTGACGAAATTATGAAAAATCGTGATGCGGACGAGTTTAAAAAAATCAATTCTATTTTAAAACTTGAGTTAGTTATTCTTTCTATCCTTCGCTATTTTTTAATTCCCTTTTTGATTTCTATTTCTTTTTTTATTTCTTTTTTTGATTTTTGTAATTTTCGTTTATATCGCATTTATTTTAATCGTTTTAGGCATTCTGTGGATTATTATTCGAATCGTTTACTTGTTTTTTTCAAATATAATCTCAATATTTATGTCGATAGTTCAGCGAAGCATTTATTAAATGAAATTGCTGATGCTTTTATGGTTGAAATGGATAATATCGAAAATATTTGTTTCTATAATAAGGAATATAATTTATTACTTGGATACGGTGATGAATCGAATTCTGATGCACTGCCAGTATTATTCAAAAACTTTAAAGCCATAAATTTAATGAAGGTTGACAGTTTTTATTTGTAGCTTAAAAAACTGTCCTTTTTTGGCAAAATATTTTGCTACTCAGAAATTTCAAGTTCATTTCAAAAATAAAAATAGTTTGTAGTAATAAAATTTATCTTAATTTATTTTTATGGATGATAGTATATATTTTAGAAGGCAGAAATTAGAATGAAATTTTGCATAGGATTTTTTCAAAGATCAGTCGTCTCTTTAATCATGTAATGCTTAGATTGTATTACAGGATCATATTTTGTTGAAAACATTACGACCAATCAGTAATATCTGTGAGAAATCTGGTTTAAAGTACGCACCTCATATGAAATTAAAACGAGGTATTTCATTTCTTAATCAATTGTTTAGGAAATGTCATAATATGGTATTTTACACGGTGTTGAAGAAAAATATTTGCTTTTTGTGTGGATAAAAATATTAAGAGCATATTTTTATCATTTTTGAAAAAATTGCTCAATTTTTTTCGGAATTTCAGAAACATATAAATCTACTTTTTTAAGGTAATTTTACATTGCAAAATATACATGCACAATTGTCAACGTGCACATTTATAATGAAAAATGATTCCAAGGAGCGTATCGTTGAACTGCTTCGTACGGCTTTGAAAAGAATTCTTTATTTAACAGAGCGTAGTATCTATAATTATTCTGATGTTCAGTCAAATGTTAGTATAAATATTTTATTAGATTAATTTTTGATAATAAAAATAATGAAAGTATCTCTTATTTTAGTTTAGTTTTTAATTTAGCAAAATAGAATTTTTTAAATTACACAGAATTCTTAATATTTAATAAATAATGGTTCAGAAATATATTTTATTTTTTTAGCAAATTGTAAATATTTGTTCATGCACATTTTTGACTGGTAATATGCTTATAAATATTCAGTATCCTCGTGTAGATGATGAATCTTTGCTGAGTAAGTCTGCTTTCTTTAGTATGTATAAGTATTCATGGTGAATAGGCATTATTCAGCAGTTTGATCTTGAACTTTTTTATTTTTCTTTTAGTACAGTTTTTTTTAAAATTCATGACAATTTATTTTATTTGTTTTATAAATTTTTTTTATTTATTTTAGCGAACTGCCGATTGAAATTTCATCGTATATTTAATCTTCCGCTTACAAAACCACTTTTGAAATTGTCACAGGCATTCAAACTTGGTTTGCAAACGAATTTGTTGCGTAGTCCGCATTTGTCCATAAACAAATGTAAGAATAGATATATTTAAATTTCACATCACATTATTTAAAAAATTATAACATATTTTACGTAACCTTCACTGTTATTGCTTTCTTAGTTCAGTTTTTCCACTTTTTATAGTTTAATTTTTTTGATAATATATTTTAAATGCAACTACAGATTGTCGAAGTGACATATTGCTCCGATTAAAATCAATCCATCATAAGTTTTTTCCTCTGGGTTTCATAGATTTACTTGACGGTATTAAAGTTTTTATTAAAGGTGAATTCGGGGTATTGCTGGGATCATATTTGCAATACTGTCAACCCTCAACTCTCAAATGATGAGATTTTATCGTAGTAGCTTATAAAGCAAGATAGATCGAAATCGATGATAAGGGGAAAATAATTTTGCACAATTTCTTTTGTAAGATTTGAATGAAGTATTAAAATAAAATAATTCATTATTTATTGAAACTTTTAATTATAGATAAAGCAAAAGGCGAATTATCTATCATTCAAGGAGCATATAACTATCATCATTACATGCAGGTTTCATCTAATTTATATTTATATTGTATTAATTAATAGTTTGGACCATTTATATATATTTAATGGCTATTAATGGCTATATTAATCAATTTTTCAGGATGGAATTAATGACAATGGATGGGGTTGTGCTTATCGATCGTTTCAAACCATATGGTCATTTTTTCTTATTCAAGGATATACAGATAAACAAGTACCTTCGCACAGAGAAATCCAACAGGTTTCTTATCACTTTTTAGGCTAAATTAATCTTTTCTTAATTTTTAATGAATTGATCTCTGAGGTTATGTTATTTTTCTTAAAAACGAATTCAAAACAAATTCAAAATTGTTGAATAGATATAAATGGTTTTAAATATTTTTATATGAACTTTTCAAATTTTTAAAAATATGTGCTTGTACCATCTATCTTCTGTTAGAGTTTACATGACTGTGGCGATAAAGATGCGAAATTTGTTGGAAGTCGACAGTGGATAGGTTCGCTAGAATTGAGTTATTGTTTAGAAAATATGCTTAATATTACGTCTCGAATAATTGCTCTTAATTCTGGTGCTGAAATTGTTGACAATGCTCGTCAAATTGGTTTACATTTCAAAACGAATGGAACTCCAATCATGATTGGTATTTTTTTTTTGACCTATTATTAATGAGTTTTTGAGATTATTAATGAATGACTTTTTCACAATTTTTTTTAATAAGAAATTTGAAAAATTGACAGCTTGACTTGTTACTAGTTAGTCTAACTCAGCTGATTATAAAAGTGAGCGTTTCCAAGTTTCTAGATTTGCAACCACATCTGATTTACTCACCATTCACTTCTTTTTTCATCAAGACGTGTGAGGACAGAGTCAAGATGTCAAATAAAATCTCTTTTGACCATATCTACACAAGTCTTGATTTATTTGTTTTTTGATGCTATCCATCAAAAGATTTAGAAGTGCGTCATTTACTGTGGTGATTAGTAATATGATCTAAACAGAATATGCATCTGTTATTGAAGTGGTTTGGTAACAATCAAAAAACATGGTTTCTTGACCGTTTTCGACGGTATTATATAATCATATAAGCAAGAGAGATATATATAATAAAGCCAAATAGATGCGAATTCTGATTTCTCTGTTTCATAATGGTTTCGCCAGGCTGAAGAAAACTTGGCTAGTTTTTAGAATTGGGATAATCTATCATTATAATTTATTCAAGGTGTTTATGGCAATTCTATATTTTTTAAATGAAAGGGAAGAATGCTGATCTGGTTAACGATAGTTCTTACTTCGAAAGAATAGTTCACTTATAGCGACTTATACTAGTAAAATTCCATAATAGGTCGCATAATACTTTTTACATCGTCCCTATCCCGATTTTCTCTCTATCTGAATCGACGGCAGCGGAAAAACCAATAAAAAAAGAGCATTCCTAGAATATTTACTAAAATTTAATTCCAGGCGGTGGAATGCTGGCATATACAATATTGGGAGTAGATTTCAATGAAATAACGGGTGATTGTGCCTTTCTTGTTCTTGATCCTCATTATACTGGTGATGAAATCATTGACACAGTTATTTCAAAAGGATGGTGTGGATGGAAGCCACCAAGTTTTTGGAAATCTGAACATTTTTATAATTTATTACTTCCCGATTTGCCTAAAAATTTCATATAAAGTTGTGAAAAAATTGGATATATGCATATAAAATCTAGATTGAGATAATATTTCGATAGTTGTTTCAAATAATGGTAAATTATACTTTCGATTAAAATGGTAAGCGTAGATTGTAAAATCATAGGAATTAAAAATTGGTCGATCTCCTATTTGCTTTGAATTCTGCAAAATATTTCGAATCATTTCATTTCCAGGTTTTCTCATTTTACTAATTTATTGTTTTTAACATGTTTTTTTCATGAAATAACCTTAATAAAATTGATAAAAAATTGATAAAAAAAAGTTTTTATAAATTGCCATCTGTTACTCGTTTTTACCGGTTAACTCGTTTTTACCGGTTAAAACTATTTTAACAATTTAGCTGAATTTTTTTGAGTCGTTTTTGAATTTAAATAACAGTATTTTATTTTGTTTCATTCAACTTTAATATATGTCAGGTCATTCGAGAATAACATTGGTATAATAAAACAAGAGACAATCAGTTGAGCGAAAGTGCCAAAAACTTGGCGAAATCGAATGTAGAAAAATCGAGGGTCTTAAAATTTTTGTAATTAAATGTGAGGTAAGTCGAACAAATATTTGTCTGTTTAAATAAATATTTATGTCGACGATGAATCGTCCAAATATTCGTTAAATTTAAAATTTATTGCTTTCTCTTAGTTCCACCTTGTTTTGTTTTTTATAACATTTGTTTTATAAAATGAAACATAAATAACATAAATAACATTTAGAGCAAAAAGGCGATGAATTTATAGGAGAGCGTGAAATGAGAGCACTGAACCATTTCGATTTAATGGCAATAGTTGTAATCTTGCGCGCTATCACACTATTTTATTGTAATGATCGATTAGTACTAATCACCTTTGTTTGTTAGGAGAACTCTTAGAATCCTTTAAAAACCGCCTTGTTCAATAAATTTGTGATTATTACTCCTATTTATTACTATTTTCTCATAATGAATGCATGAAACAATCGTATCCACAGCTATTATCCAATTTCTTTTTCATTTCTTTTTATTATTTCAAACTCTTTATTTTTTGTTAGAATATTTTTGCATTTTTCCGTTCATTTTTATAAATGCTATCTTTTTTGGTACCATAGAATAAAACATAATTAATTGAATTTTATGGGGCAGACGATAAACAAAGAATAAGAAATTGAAGACAAGTTAACGAGATGATTGTTTTTTCATTGTTTATTAATGAAGAGTGGTTTTCTCTATTGAAGTTATTCTTTAAAAGTGATAAGGGAAACGATAAAAAACGAAATTCTTACTGAATCATATTCATGAAAATAGACGAAAGCAATTGATTAATAATAATAAATTTTTTTAAAACCCATTCATTAAAGAAATGTTTATTTTGTCAGTTAATAATATTGGTTTTCATTCGTCGTTTTAATTCGTCATTTTGTTGTAATCATTTTCTTAATGAATTTTTTTAATTCACTAGAAAAATTCGCTTCTTTTATGAATTGGAAGGAATGAGACGTATGCACATTTGGCTGAAATTAAATCGAGTAGGTTCGTATAGGAGTAAATTAAAAGTGAAGTAGGCTTAATCATCGGTACCAACCAAATGTGAAATAATGATGTGAAATGAAATAATGACGAAGAAGAAGTTTTTCAATTTTAGATTTGGGTGAAACAATGGATAAACTGGAATTTGAACAGTTACGAGCGGAGGTGGTGCGTTTAACTGCTGCTTTTGAGGAAGCTTCTGCCGACAAAATTCGGGTTCTCATCGATTTTAATGTTTTTAAAATATTTTTTAATTTTAAAATTTTTTATCGATTGTCCAATGAATAAACTCATTTTTCATTTTTCTCATAGTTTACTTTTATTTTACTGGCTTTTTTTATGATGTAATAAGTCAATCTGACGGTGGTTTCTTGATTAAATGATCGTTTAAATAGACAATTTCTAGGCAGCGCAATATGGTCTTCAAGTTTTGGATGAAAAACAACAAGTGGAAATGAAATTGGCTAATTTACAAGCACAGTATGATGCTGCAAAAATTGAAATCGATGCAACGAAAGAAGTTTTATTTTTATTTTTTCTCCAAATTCTCTGTTTATTATATAATCATCGATTTCGCCACAATAAAAGTTTTATAAAAGTTTAATTTTTCTATTTGTGTGGCTTTCTTCTCGTTTTATACTCGAAATTCTTCCATTTTTTTGCACTATCGTTATTATTGTTAGTTTATTGTTTCTTTAAGGCATTAGCACATTACCAGTCATTGCAAAAAAGTGTGGCAGAATCGGGAATCGATCACGAGGAAAGTCTTTTAGAGGAAACGATGAATCGAGAACAAGACTATTTAGCAAAAATTTCAAGTTTGGAATCAGATTTGAAATTCGCCCAACAGGTTTGTTGTGTGGAATATTATTGTTTGCATGATCTCATTATTTTTTTAATCATATAGAAAAAGCGGAAATCGTTGCAGGAACTAGAAAGGCATAGATCGGATCTCGATCGTCTTCAATCCATGCATAATAAAGCATCAGAAGAATCGGAAATCTTGGATTTTCAAAAGAGAAATTTGAAAGATGAATTGAAAGATCTAAAAAATCGTGAACAGAGATTATTAAATGATTATTGCGAATTGGAGGAAGAAAATATAACTTTGCAGAAACAGGTAATATATTTTTTATAATTTATACTTTTTATTAGGATATTTTTTTATGAATTTTGTTTTTTTATGATTTCTTTGCTTTTTTATTAATTAATTAACTTTTTTATTAATTATTAATTATTAATTATTAATTAATTTAATTTTGTGCTGAATAATTTGGTTTTCTTATTTTAGAAATGGTTCAGACTCTATGATATAATAATAATAATAATATGATAAATATATTTATATTCGTTATATTCGTAATAATTTTAGGTTTCCAATTTACGTTGTGCGCAAATAGAATTCGAAGCGATGAAAATGGAAGTCAGGCGTCTGCTTGATGAAATCGACCAATTGCAGTCTGAAAAGGAACAAGCTAATAAGTTAACCATGGTAGCGCAAAAACATGTAAGGTCTTTTGTTTATTTAATTTTTTTCGACTCGTTAATTAGTTGTTAGAAAATTTTTGAAAATAAATGATTTTGTATGCTTTGAAAATATTTTAGATTGATTTTAATTACATATAAGTGGTTTTTCTCTTCTTCTACGACTGGGAAATTATTGATTTACTTTGCTGAATTGGCTATAGGACTCTCATCTCACATGATGATGTGTATGAAGAGCATCAGTGTTTAATACAGTTTCGCTTTTATTTTCAGCTTGAGGATGCTTTGCTGAGTGTGCAGCAAGAACGTGATCAGAAACTGGTTTATAAAAAAGAATTGGAAATGATGAAGAATGCCGAACATTTGCAACAGCTTAATACTATGTTATATGGATTGCAAGAAGATAACAATGACGATCCTCAAGCTTTAAAACAGGTTGGGATAAATTTTTTTTTTGGACGTTTAACCATTATCTTAAGAATTTTATTATAGTTAATACTCATGAATAACTAGCTTCTATGAAATTTCAGCTGGAATTTTCTTTTATAGCCGAAAATAGTAAATCTAATAAAAAAGGACCACCAAAAGGTGCTGATCTTTTTTCCGAAATTCATGGAGATTTTCACGAACGTTTGGCTGAAATGGAAAGTAAAAATGATCAATTAATGTTAAAGTTAAAAGACACCGAGCGCGATGTGAATTGCATTATACCAGTCCTAAAGAAATTGGAAGTTATGAGTACCTCAGGTAATTTTTCTACCAACATGCCAAGAATAGATTAGTTTTATAAGTTTGAATTCTATTAAATTCTAATTAAAAAATTCTATTTAAAACTTTAGAAAATTCTATTTCTATTCTATTTCAAATAATTTTGTGAAGTCAAACTTCCTTACTGTTTTAGATCTTGACCATAGCCAATTAAAACAACTGTGTGATGACGCTATTACGAAAATTGATCAGCTAACCTCAAGTATTTCGAATGCTGGTGTTAGCAGCAAAGAATACGAACAATTAAGATCAGATACACGAATTGCAGTTGTCGCTGCGGGAACTTATCATGCGAAATTGGCTTATGCTCAAGTCAGTTCTATGTTTGCCGTAATTTCTCATTATTTATTAATAATATTATTAAGAATATTTATTAATAATGTAACAACCTAAATAATATAAGAGCATATCCTGGGACATTTTTTATGTTGCAGGACTTGATGATTGCTATTGCTGATTATCTTTATCGTCTTTATCATCAATTGATTACCACCCATGAACTAGAGTCGGATAAAAGCTTGAGCGAAACTATGAAAAAATTAAGAGAACTTGCTAAAAATAATGCTGAAAGTGAAGAATTTATCCAAGGTATTTTTTTACTTCTAAAATTTTAGGCATTCACCATATTTTGTAATAATGCGATCGATAAATTCTTAAAATAGACAATCTGTAGATGAAGGAATGGAAAGTGGCACAGAAACTGAAAATGGACGATTCCCCCAACTGACTCTAAACTCGCAGCGGCATATTGTATCACCTGCATTCATCAAAGAAATGAATCAACGGCTAAATACAGAACGGGTCGAAACAGTTGTCACTGATTGTGACTTAAGGGAAACAGTAGTTTCGGGCAAGTGTTATGAGTTTTTATTAAAGTAGCTCGAAAAATCAGATAAATTTTTCAGTGAAATTTTACTAATAATTTTACTAAAAATAATGATCTGTTCCAGGTGGCACCGAAGTATTTGAAATTTCTGAATGCCTAACTGATTTGTCTAAAATAGTGCGTCGAACAGTTGAAAATGCTCTTAATACTCGTGTAGAAAATGAAGATCAACAGGAACTTACGGTTCAAAATATGAAACTTCGTTCCTTACTCGCAACAAAAAGGTAATTTTTCCATCTTAATTTTCGTTTTAATTATTCAAGGAAAAAAATGAAGATAAAACTCCATTTTGATTTTGATTTTTTTTTCTTTATTGCATATAACTAAGAAAAATTTGAGTTTTTTCTCACACTGGTTCGCAGAAATGATTATTGAATTAGTTTTTAAGATTTCAAAAATAAATATTTCAAATTATAATTTCAAATTATAATTTCAAAAATAACAAAGATTTCTATATTACGAGAAAGAATTATTTGACTTAAAATTTCAAAAGTAAATGAATTTATGGGTAATAAAAAAATCATAAAGGTTTTGCATTTTATAAATATTGAAAACCTACGTCTCCCCTTCAATTTCATCAATGATATTTTTATCCCTAATTCAGCTTTATTAATTCAGCTTTCAAATTAATATTTGGACTAATTTATTTTTTTCATTTTATTAATCAAAATGGTAGGAAGAATTTTAAACATCTTGATTAAAATAGTTTTACCTTGTATTTCCAAATGTTTCGTGTTTGCAGAGGGAGAATTTGAAAAGGTCATACTAGTTTAGCCCTAATCTACTTTATGATTTGTCATACTTTATCTGATGGTGTTTTATACAGTGCATTTAATCGATTCCCCCAACTGATTCTAAACTCACAGCGGCATATTGTATCACCTGCATTCATGCATTCATCAAAGAAATGAATCAACGGCTAAATACAGAACGGGTCGATATTTAATACTATTTAATAGAAAACCAAGAAAGTCTGGCAATAGTCCAATCAAGATCATCCATACCCCACTTATATTTCTTGCGAATAAAATCTATAGAAATAGCCAAATAAAAACATGTATTTATATGTAAATAAATAGAAAACAATAGGTAATATCAATAATTTTAACAAAAATTTTTGAACTAAAATTACAAATGATTGTGCGAGATTAATTTTAGCTTTTACATATATTATCATATTATCAGTCATTTCTTTCAGCATTTCATCTGTTATTTCATTTTTTCATCTTCATGGATCATAGAAGAATATGAGCTAAATTCATCTAACTTGCTGCATAGTCATAAGCATGGTTAACATAAATTTTGTACAAAGGCACCATATTTTTTAAGGATTACTATTTGAAACGTTTGATGTAATTGAAGTAAGCTCCTATAAGTTTTTATATTTCAAAGTTATTTTCGAATTAATTAATTTTCTCATTAAGAGATCAAATTGCAACCTTGAGAACGGTGTTGAAATCAAATAAATTAACGGCAGAATCGGCATTGGCATCACTGAAAGAAAAATATGAAAGTGAAAAAGCGATAACCTCAGATTTACTGGAGAAACTGCGTAAAGAGCTGAAATGTTTCAAGGAAGATGCAGCAACATTTGCATCACATCGTGCTATGTTTACTGCGAGATGTGAAGAATTACAAGCCCAGGTATAATCTTTCGTTAGTTAACGGTGATAAATTTGTTTAGATTCTTCTTATGGATAGCATATGAGAGAATAAAATATAATTATAATATTATACTATTGTAGTAAACAATAAGCAATCGTTGGTTCGAAAGATTGAATTTTCGGAATAGGCAAAGGTTTGCATTGTGAAGCTTACAGTCGAATTCTAGATGCTTTACAGAACCATTGCTATGAACAATGAATATCAACACTTTTTACATTGAAAAATAGATTCAAAGAACGTGAATTACATTTAAAAAATTGCTTAAGGTTGATGAGCTGGAAGCGAATCAAAGAGCGGCTGAAGATGAAAAAAGGACTCTTAATTCGTTATTACGAATGGCCATTCAACAAAAATTGGCCCTTACTCAAAGGTTATCAACTCAGACCATTTCATAATCTTGTAATAAAAATTTTTAGAACTTTGGAAAATTAATTTAATTTCGAAGCAGAACACTTACCATGAAATAATTTTTTAGACTGGAAGATTTGGAAGTAGATCGAGAAAGGCAGACCTTTAAGAGAGGTAATAAATCAAATCGAATAGTAAATAATAGCGAAAATAGTGCACAATTGCATCGTGTCAGGTATCCCGGACCAAATACACAACACCAACAACAGCAACAAGCGAGGAATCTTAAAAGAGACGGCTAAATTCTCTTGTACATCTTAATTTGTTGTTAATTTTGATATTATTCAAATGATGAAATGATGAGAAGGGCAGGGTTTGCATATTATTTGAGCATATCAAAGAAAAACTTTTTTTGACTCTTTATTTTCAGTATTTATTTTTTAGTTTTTTTCTCATATTTCTTGTGAAGTATTAGTGCGCATTGTGCCTTATATTTTTTTTTCTATTTGTTATTTTATGTTATTAATAAATGATTAGAAACATTTTATTCAACTTAGACTTGAGATTGTCTTGCTTCTAAGGGATGATAAAGCATCATTCTGATCTTCTATATGTTCAAATTCAAATTTATGATCCCTTATAATTTCTAAAAATCTTGTCGAATGTTTCCAAATTTAGAATTTTTCTAGGAAGAAATACGTAACATTATTTTTAAAAGAAACATATAAATTATTTCAATGGCTTGGTGAAATTAATTGCCTTATATATAAATTCGAGTGTGCACGACAAATTCTCTAAAAGATAATTTCCGCTGAACGGCGAATATTAAAAAGTTAATTACGTTGAGGTGGTAAAAGTCCGAAAACGGCTTATTAAAATTCAGCCAGATCGAAGCACAAGACTCAATTAAGTTTTTAAGTGTTGATAATGCGATTGGCGTTGAACTGCATTGGTGCATCGACGGATTTTTTACAACGAAGATGGTTTGGACTCGGATTCGACAGAGGCGCCATCATTTGTCGAATGAAAATATCGCTGAACGGGCAAATGCAAAAAACGTGGTCGGAAATCGAAAAACGGATTCGAACTGAACAATATAAGCCTATCAACACGATCGATAACAGTCAGTTGATAAATGAAGAATGAATGTTGATAAGGAAAGAAGAAAAAGGTCTGTGCACAATTTGCGATCCACTTTATGTTTTCTCTAAATAATATATTTTTAATATTGTTTTTTATGTTTCATATATTCTGATTTTTTTAAAATATATATGGATAATTTTAAATTTTTTTTTACTGAAATTAAGCAAATCCACGGTAAAATATTTAGTAATTTGAATATTTAAATATTATGTAAAATGTTCATAGCAATCATCGATCAAATCTTGAAAATCTTCACACTATTTTACGATAAAACACAACACAACGAGTATAAAACCTGATTTGCCCAACTTGGTACCAAATCTTCATAAACGCATTCTCGCTAATTTATAAAATATTTAAAATATACAAATATAAATTTTTATAATTGCACTTATTTTAAATGCTTGGATCTCATAAATATTTTTGTTGTTTAGTATTATTTATTATTTAATATTATTGTAATATTTATTATTATATTCAATTAACATTGTTAATATATTATATTCTAATAATTGTTTTTAAATAAATAAAAATAACTATTAAAAGATGAAAATTTTTTAAATTTTATTGAAACTCTTTAATAGAAAACGAAATTATATTTGACTCCTTTATAGGTAAAAAGTAGCATATTAATGTGACAGTTACTATCGAAGCTACAGCCATAGCTCAACCACAGCCATAGCCAGAAACTCATTTTGGAAGAGTCCATAGCGGCGGTGGATCTTAATATTCGCCCAAAGCGACTCCTAACTGGCAATTCCCCAACTGGCCAATTCACCGTAGAAAATGCCAAGTTTTTCGGCGAATTTTTTCATGCGCCCCGCAAGAACGAAGATTCCATTCTTTCAGTCTTTCCAATATAACTCAAATTGTTTTACAATTAAAGTTGTAATGATTTTATCGCAAACCGCTCGGCTCGTTCTCCACAACGATTTTTATGAATGAATCGCAGAAGTTGGAAAATTTCTATTTGCTTCTTTTTGCAAAAAATTTTATTATAAATGGTTATTTTTCTTCTTCGCCAACGCTCATTTAAAAAATCTGTCTGATTTCCTTTTTTCTTGAAAAACTTAAAATTTCATGGAACTTCGAAATCATTATTTATTACTACAATTCACTGTTCACTAATTTACTAATTTATTATTAAATATTAATTCGATTAATTATTTGATTATTTAATTTAATTCTTTATTTAATCACTTATTATTATCAATTCTCTCTTTTCTGGAAAACTTAAAATTTCGTGGATGTTGAGAGTTATCATTAATTATTTTTATTTATTACCATTATTATTAATTATCACCAGTTATTATTATTAATTATGATAATTGTTATAATTATTTGCCATCCCTTATTTTTTTAATCGTTTAATTAATTAGCTGACTGTTTAATCAATTTAATTTATTTTATTTAATTTAATCGCTCATTACAATTATTACTTATTGAGCCATTGCTGCTTTGACTCGCTTGTCGGACTGAACAAATACGCCAGAGAGTTCTTTGGCGGTAGAACTACAGGTATGTCGCCCATTCTCTTGAAGGGCAGGTTTACTTCTGCCTGAAATAGAACCTCAGCATCAGCGCTCCTGACCGAGTAACAACTCCTTGAGTCACTCTCCTTTCCTTTTTCCCCTGGCTGAGGAAGAATGGTGCGTCGGCCTAACCCAAACACAAACCCCGATCACCAGTGGAAATTATTTTCTCACTGAACAATCCGACACTCTACTTTGTTATAAAAATTATTATCATTATTTATTATAACGTGATTTATTATATTCATAATTATATATAATTTCATTATTACTGCAATTATTATTTTCGTAACATAACATCCATGATGTCAACAATTTTAGGGTTTTTCTTCCTCTAATTTTTTTTATGCCAACATCAATTAGAATTATTTATTTGCTGTATAACAATGGTGTATGCCATTTGTTCCACTAATATTACTTATTGACATTAAAAAGAAACATTGTATAACAAGCGAGAGTCTTGTTGAGACCAGTTTCGTTGGAATCCCACCTCATTCCACTTCACTCCATTCAACACAAAGCGATTGGGAAATGAGTTTCCTAGAGATTTTTGTTATAAACGAAAAAAATTTTAAAAATCTCTATAAATAAGTTGATTTCTAAGGCGATAATACGCATTGCAGTGGACAATTCGTTTCGTAAATTTTATGCAAATGATAGCCAAGAATTATGGATTTAAAACGACAAATGGCTAAATGGCCAAAACGTCTCAACGAATTAAAATCAATATTTATTGATGCATTCACTAATTTCAGAAACAATAAGTACCACTCAAATGCTTTGGTAAAAAATTTTTAAAAATAAAATTTTTATATTACCCTTTGAAAATTTTTTTTAAAGATAAAATTATTAAAGAATCATTAGATTACTTTAAACACTTTTTCAAATGAATAAAAGAGGTAAAGTGGCTCAATGAATTGCTGCTTTCATCAAAACTGAAATTCCATTTCCAAAAGAAGTTTACTTAATTTAATTAAATTTAATTTAACTTTCAAAAAAATAATCTCGATAATGCTGGCAATTCTGTATTTCTCTCGATTAACTGACAAAATTTGTCGAATCGATACGCCAGCGGAGTGAATCTAAGCAGAAATGATGAGTGCTCATAAGAAAAAGAAATTAAGTGGGAAATGAATTTTATACATATTTTATTTCATTTTTAGAATCATATTCGTTATTAATTAATTTTAAAAAATTAATGGAACTTATTAAAAAATTATTAAATTCGATGAGTTTCTAAATCCTTGAAAATAAAAAATAGTAAATTTATTCCGATGAAGAGGCTTTCAGCCTTTGATTTGCGACCATCTCAACCGTTAAATATCAGAAACCTTCGTCATATTGTATCATCGCCTAATCCGACATATACTGACGAGACTGGCATTATTTTCACAATAACCTTTTACCGAAAATCTAAAAATCCGCGCTGCTCTCTTCACAGTCACCTTATTAAACATTAAATATTTCGAAATTTTCTCCAAATTTACCAAAATTCCCTTAAAGAAACAAATTTTTACGATTCGCTTCTTGTATTATCAAAAGATTTAAATCTTTTGCTATATGAGCTATAAACTGAATTTCATCAAGGCATTCCCTTTCCTCCGATAACCTTTCTTTCGACTGGTACTGCAAACCCGATCGTTTATTGATTGTTTTCAAGTGATTCACTCGCTGCACGCTTCTACGGTTATTAGCCAGTGCAATTGGGCAAGCAGAAGACTATTAGTGGAAGCGATTTGTTCCATCGTGCTGAAAAACGTGCTGCATTTCTCATTTTATAAATATTCTTAGGAAAAAAAACGCCAAAAACGAAATTCGACTTGGAATCAGAAATATCTTATTTTCCGCTTACTTCCGCTTTACTCGTTAGAAAACCGAAATGTTATTTGTCGGAATAACAGAATCGAGCAACAACTGCTCTCGAAATTCTCGAAATTCGATACGCATAAGCCCGTCGTTTAAAAGCATCGACGCTGTTGCTGACCGCCGCACCCGATGGTCGAACAATGCCTTGGCTAAAACCCTACAAGCGAGCCAACCAAGCCTAACCGACAATCGTCGCCAGAAAAACCTCCGAGCGCAGCTTCTGAAAGTGGAATTCTGAAAAATTCTCGAAACTTGGCAAGTATCCAAGGTTTAAATTTTCTACCGTATAGAATTAATTGTTGTTTGCATCCTGAATTGCCTGAATAGACTTGGAACCTCGCCAAAATTCGACCTGACAATCGATTTTTATTTTTTGATATTTTCAATTTTTTAAACAGTTTTATGGGGGTTTCTGTCGTATTTTAGGGTGATTGACTATTTTTTCGAGGGAAAATCGATTTCTTCATTTCTCATTTAATTTTTATTGCTCGATTTTTTAAAAAATCTTCGATTTATTTTAAAACAAAAATGAAATTTATTTTTTAAAATAAAATTGCAATAATTTGCTTCAAAATTTCTTATTTTCTCATTTATCATTCTAATTTTTTTTCGTTAATTTTATTTCTAAATTTTATTTGAATTTTATCACTTTCGTTAAATTAAAATATTTTCAATTTCGATTTCAAAAATAAATTTATTTTTTAATACAAATACAAATATAATTTATATAAATATAATTTCCATAAATATAATTTTTATTT